CCTTCATTTTTAGGATTAATTTAATAGGAATAATTCAACAGCAGTGTGCATATGTAAAATTACAACAAGGAAACTTTGGTGCAAACAAAACATTTAACCAGGTCATAAGAATTTTAAAAATCCATTTTGGTTTTTCATCCAATTCATTTTGTGGGACTATTGCAAGTGTCATCCATGATATATGGAGGAGTAATCTGGCAAAAATTAAGTTTAAAAGCAGATACACAAGACATATTTATGATTTCAGCTTTGCAACAAGTCCAAATATCTGTGCAACTTTTGCATGTTAGTTTAGATTTCAAGAGTAGGCAAAAAACATGTAATTCACAAACACCTTTAACCTGGGGAAAAACCTCCAAACTCTTCATAGGTAACACATCCTTAGCTTGGATAGAACTCTCTGAATTTAAGGCTTAGATGCATAGTTTCTATTTTTCTTTTTAACAGCTTTCTGGCACTGAAATACTTCTATTTCTTCTGTGCCGTGTAGTTATGTCCCAACCTTCATTTTTTCAGCATTTACTTGAACAGGATTAAAATAGCATGGTAGGTAAGAAAGGTGAAGAGGAAGGAGGAGCAACAGGTCAGTGGCATTGGGAGTATTCGTAGTATGTGCAGCAAAGAGGAATATAGGAGAAACATAGAAATCCCGAGTAATAGAACTATGTGGGGATGAAGGCTAAGTTGGTGGTTTAAGAAAGTATTGGAATAAGGAGGTTTGGAATGTAAGGTCTCAGTGGTGCACAGATCACTAATGATAAACACCAACATACATGAAAAGCCCTTGCAATGATGTGGAGTTGCCTGGATAGTTCACACTAATGTGGAGTAGGTACTGAAGGGTGCTCTCAGCAGAGAGAAGGCGGAAACTCCTGGAAGAATGTTATTGATAGTGAAAGGGATGAAGTAGGAACTGTGGGTCTTTAGAGACATCCTGGAAATTGCACATCAAGGCATTTGGAAGCAATGGAGCAGATAATAGGAAGAAAATGAGAAAGGTTGGGCAAGTGTCCTCCTTGAATGATGAATAAGGAATATGCAGGAAAGGCTATTCCTGTGTCATGAGAACTGTAGTTAGTATCAAACTGCATAATAAAAGTAATATAACTTCTTGGTAAAAAAAATGAAAATTTAAAAGGAAGTTAAATGTTGCATTGTGCTTCTTAGGATGTGAAATGTAAAAGTACATGCACTTGGAGAATTGAAGTGGCATGCACCAAGTCATGACACATTCAGAGGCAGTTCCTTGTTGGAATTTATTGCTAGATTGCCAGTGCATCTGTCTTTGTCTACCCAATATCCTTCTAAAAAGTATTGACCAGTAGGAAGAAAGGGAAGCTTCTCTTGTGAGACTCAGTTTAAAAAGCAGTCTTCCCAAATTCAAACTATTTGTGTTGTTAAATACATATATAACTGTATCGGGACTAATTTCTTTGTTAAAGGCACATATACCCTTTGGATGCTCTTGATCATCATTTGAACAAACAGGGAGGCACTGTTAACAGAAGCATTTAATGTTCTGATATACTTTCTAAACTTTTTGCAGAAAACTTAAATTGCCAGCATACTGTGCCATCCATGGAACACAGTGGTTTATTTTATATTTATTTATTAAAGACAACCCCCTTGTTGCCCAATAGCTGAAAGTCTCTGAGCAGTTCACAAAGTAGGCAATCATTTGTTTGGTATTAACAGCTAAGGTTCTTGTTCCATCAGATTCAGATTTTGGAATCAAAAACCATTCATATTAATTTCTGCATTGGCCTTCAATGACCATATGTCCTCTCTCCTTCTCTCTAACTTAGGAGACAAGTACTGGGTTTTTAAGGAGGTGACGGCAGAACCAGGGTACCCACACAGCTTAGTAGAGCTGGGCAGCTGTCTTCCACGGGAAGGGATTGACACAGCTTTACGGTGGGAACCTGTAGGTAAAACATATTTCTTCAAGGGAGACCGATACTGGAGGTATAATGAAGACAAGAGAGCAACAGATCCAGGCTATCCCAAACCCATCACTGTATGGAAAGGGATCCCTCAATCTCCACAAGGCGCTTTTGTCAGCAAAGAAGGGTGTATGTATTTATCATGTTTCTTATGTATCAGTTCAATAGCATTTATTATATCTTTTGTTGAGTTTTGCATTCTAATTATATTAAAGGCTGTTTGATCACAGCACTGCAGAGACACATTAAGTGGTTATAGGCAGACTCCTTGCTGATGCAGCCCATTTTCTCTTCCAGATAACCTTGAAGCAGCCTTGCTTTCATCATATACAGAATTTTTTCTCTGATCTTGAACAACTAATGGATGCTTATTCTGTCCCCGTTCTCCAAATTCTTCTTCATGAGAGTAGGGCAACAATACTATCCTTTGTATAGCAAAAGATAAAACAAATTATTTTTACCCTGGCATTCAGTATAGGATACAGCTTATTTGTATTTCCTATATGGCCCACATTATAGGGCAAGGTAGTCAGTTCTGCCATGTACAGAATTTTATCTACATACCTTTGCAATCTGTGAATTGCACAGAATGGAATAATTTCTGCTTTCTTTTCCAGTTTATACCTACTTTTATAAAGGTAAGGAATACTGGAAGTTTGATAACCAGAGGCTGACTGTGGAACCAGGGTATCCCAGGTCAATCCTCAAAGACTGGATGGGTTGTAACCAAAAGGAGGTTGAACGAAGCAAAGACCGTCGCCTCTCCCATGATGACGTGGATATTATGGTGACGATAAATGATGTGCCTAGCACTGTCAATGCAATTGCAGTTGTGATCCCCTGCATTTTATCTTTGTGTATCCTTGTCCTGGTATACACAATCTTCCAGTTCAAGAACAAAGAGGTTCAGCAAAGTGTGACCTACTACAGACGACCTGTGCAAGAATGGGTATGACAGGCTCAGCAGCTCATTTGGATCCACACAATGATGGTGATGGGCTGCAGACATAAAAAAGGGGGAATCAGAGGATAGCCTGCCAAACAAACACAAAACAAACAAACACAAAACTCTTCAAGAGATTAGACAAGTCAGATAGAATTCTGGGATTGAAAGAAGAAAACAAAAACCAACTAAACCCAGGTGGCCTTGCACGGTAGAGCCGCTTTCCTTCTGACTGCCTCAGTGCCGTGTATGTCTCGGTGTGACATTTTTCACCAACCCACTCAGTGAGTGTCAGAGACCTCAAGAGGAGTTTGCTTCAATCTTTTTTCAATTCACCTGAGCAATCTTCTTCAGTGCCCTCTTTTAAACCCAGCATTTGCCAGTGTAGCCAACCACCTCTCGTTTTTTTTCTACACTTGTCTCATTGAAATGAGTAATTCTGTGGGACACAAAAGGAACACTTCAGTACCTTCTGAAGAAGACATTCTGAGGCTGAATCATTCTGAAAGATTTTAATTTATTACAGGAACCAGGCAATTACCTGGATAGCATTTTTCCAATACCTGCTGGTCAGACGTTTTGTACATTCATGGTAATTAGCTGATGTTCCCGTTCTGCAATAGCAGAGATACAAAGAGCTCTTAGGAAGTAATTCTGTGTAGACCACAACTTCAAACAGCTCTGAATCCAGATCAAATCATAACAGCAAGTTAACGAACGGAAATTCTGAATTCAACTATAGTCTGCAAGACTAAGCAGTTGGATTCAAATACCGATAATGTGAATGCAGACCTTAATACTCTTGTTTTTAAGAACCTATCATGTAATTAATATTTAAATGTCATATTACCACTATTTTAAGTTGGCAACAATAAATTAATTGTTACCATTATAAGATTAAAATGTAAGATCTTTGATATTTTCATTTGATTGCATTTGGAAGAATGGCGTACACCTTAGGATGCTGTTTTTTAGCAACATTGCAATGAGAACTTTGGTTGGAGTAATGAAGTTTACAATAATTAACAGAAAATGTATGAAGTTTGCAATTTAGAAACTTGAGAATCTGGTGTGAATGAAAAGTAACTGTCACTTCACATACAAGGGCAGTGTAGTATCCTATTTGGCATCAGTGCTAATGTAAATTATGTTGTGCTAACATAAGCTAATTGTTGAAATGTGATTTCCCCAGACCAGTCACTTCAGCCAACACTATCAGCATTACACTAGCAGTAGTTTATGCTACCATAATGCAATTTATACTTAATTATATGAAAGGCAAATATTTCAAAGTGTGAAATGTAAATAAATTGAATCCAGTGGCCGTAAAGGAGTATTTCCCCCTTGCCATGCCTCTTCTGAGGATTGGAGGACCTTGCTGAATGGAGTAGGCCAGTGGGAGAAAGACTGGGAGGATACTTTTTGAGAGCACTGCTTCCACAAGATCCCTCTGTCCTACTTCCAGGGTTCCTCTCACACCATACCACAGCCTACCTCTTCAGCAGGGGCAGCTGATTCTTAGAAAAGCCATTTGGATGAGTGCTGGGGGACAGATGGGAGCAAAAAAGGTAACTTTTTGCCTGCTCCCTTCCATGCATTTTTCTCTAGTCCAATCCCAGTGTAGTTCGTAATCAACATTGCAATGATGGATGCATACAATAGTATGAATACCAACTTTCATCTTAAAAAGGAAAATTGTGTGGTTTTTTTTTGAAGTATGATGCAGTATAAGACACTTGTTTATTAATAATCATGATGACTGCATAGAAATTGTCTGGTTGGGCTTTTAAACTATTATGTCAGGCTTGTTTAAAGGCTAGACAAACTAAGCCTGCAATCTAATATCCCTATACATCAGCATTTACTTATTTCTGAGTATAGAATTGTGATATAAATTGGTTTCTTTCCAGGTATTGGCCTTTTGTCATTCCGGTTGGACAGTCAGCATCCTTTTTTACATCTTCCAGCAGTTTCTCTACTTGTTATGCTACAGGTCAAATGATAGGAATTAAAAGCAAATGTTTGGAACCTAATTTAAAACGTTATAGCCTACATTCAAGACAATTGCAAAAGTGCTTATGTAAGTAAAACAGTTGAAATATTTTGTACTAAGTTGGTTAAAGGCAGCGCATATCTAAAATTTCTATATGGAAGTTGCACCATTTAGGAATTTGTATAAATCCTGTGTTGCTCATGTTTATATGACAATCCTACACGAGAAAATTGCATATGATGGTTCACATTTGATATTTTCAAGTTCCTGCATGGAAGTATTAATACTTTCTAGTATGTGAGGTGGCCCTTCACTTTTACTGCACCAACTTTGTCTTCTGACAGTTTAGATGTTATCAGCAGCCCTGTGTTTGGAATACACAGCCCCTTGCAGAGGTAAGAATTCTCAGCAGATGGGATGTTCATTCTGCAATTTCACTCTAGGCTGTTTTTTCACAGATGCAGGTAAAATGATTTAAATCTACCTAAGAAGCAGTTTGCAGAAATCACACAAATGGAGGCAGGATAAGGAGATGGTTTGCCCTTACAAGAATCCCAAAACGCACACACATTGAAAGGAAAACACAGGCTGGAGAACCTGAGCTCCAACATGTAACAGAAGAATTATAACGTAATTCCCTTCATACCAAATTAAATTTTTGATGGAATTCAGATAGTGCAAGAGGGAGTTAACAAAAGCAACACTTATGTTGTCTTGAAAGTTGGTGCCGTAATAATCCACTAGCAGAGCAAGCTCATGGCCCCTAGAGGGGGCCATAGGATTTTTCAGAGGCTCAGCTCTGAGGCTGCAAAAAACCCCCTCCAACCTACCCTCCCCAGTTTGCTGTTACATTGAAGGAGGGGGTGAAGCCAATGTTCTGTAGTGAGGGGAGGAGACTGGGTACACCAGGGTCTCACGTTTTCTGGTGGTGCCCCATTCTCCTCTCATCTCTACCCATAGTGCCTTACCTAGATGGACAAAATCTGCCTTCTAGCAAGGCACAAATGCAGAGCTGGTTTTTAGTTCTGGTCTCCTCTCACTTCTGGATGCCCATAATCCTCAGTATTCAGAGATTTATGGTTGTCATTGTTGGATTGCACTCAGACTGTATAATGCTAAAGCATGGTGCCTTCTTTGCTTCTACAAAAGAAATGGTATTCCTGCTAAAGGTTTGGCAGGACTTAAGATCTTATCTTCACTTCCTTCAAAGGGCATTCTTTACCCCCACGTAGGATGGTGGGATGGCCCTTACTGCATCATCAAAACATTAATTTGCTATTAAGTTATGCTATGTTTACATTTAAAGTATCTGTTCCAGCACTTTTATGCATCTCAGCTGACATATCAGAGCAACAGCCATATTTGGGTTAGTTCATGCAATTATAAAAATGTGCTAAAAAGTAGTTTTGAAGTATGTAATTAAGTCTGATTGCATAGTAAAATCATACTGAGAACTTATATATATCCCACATTAGCAATATATGTAGATATTTTACTCTGCCTGGTTCTTGAAAGTCTTCACAGAGATGCAGTGAAATGTCCATACCCACTGAATAGTGACTTGGGCATGTGCAGAAACAACCATATAGACATATGCTACCAACCTGCACTTCACTGTCATTCCTTCATCACATGATGCACTATTTTCATTCAGGTTCATTGTACTTAAAACAATAGCATAGTAAGACCCACATACACTCTGCACTGGAAGTTACATTTAATTCAAAAAGTTGCCAAGTTCATGGCACTATCACCAAAAGTCAGTATGTCCTATAAGCTGTAGCAGCTACAGTAGACACATTTCCCCCCTTTTCCACATTCAGGATATTCAAAAACTGTAAGTGGTTTACAGCTTGCGCAATGAGGTACAAAATTTTCTTGTGAACCTACAGTTGCATTCAGTATAATTTAAGACCTATACATTTCAGTAAGTAGGGCTAACAATTAATACCACCTTTAGTGTTAGGTATGCTATCCCATTTTTGCCAAAAATCTGCCATCACCAATAGCTGCTGCTTTTTAGAGTTACATTTGCTAAACACAGAGCTGTCAAGATGCCGTGCACCTTAGCTATACCCTAAGAGGTAGGTAACTTATGGCCCTTCAATCATTTTGGCCTGCAATTGCAACTAGGTCAAATTGACTCAGGATAGCCACTTAGCAGGGTGGGAGCACCCATTATGCTGAGTAAACTGAAGAATCTAAATGGGTCCCCCTCATGGCTTACCTATAGAAAGTGGCTGTTTCTTTAAAATGCAATGTTTGACTGTAGGAGTGTGTCCACCATGGCAAGAGGGAGAACTGGCAAACAGGCAGAGTGACTAAGGGCCGATATACACATTCCATGGATTGAGACAGAAGGCAAAGGTAGTAGACCTGCTACTGTTTGCATATAATGCAGAAGAGGGCAGGTATTTTGGTCTATGACTCTTATCAGGCCTAGTCAGCAGACGCAATGGGGAAGGGTTAGGGGAACTGCAGGTCAAAAACATTTGGAGAGTTGCAAAGTGCCCATTCCTGCCCTACGGCACAGTCAATTCTCTTTCATTGGAGTACCTTGCAAACGACATATTCCAACTCAGAATAAACAATGCTTTAAAAGTTAAAGAAGGGAATAATTTTGTATATTATCAGTAAGGCAGTACTACAGTTAAGCTTTCAGCTTACCGAAATATGTAAGTCTATAATTGTATGCACACTTACCTATAAGTAAACCATTGACTTAGTAGGATTTATATGTGAGTAGACATGCATAGAATTGCAGTTACCCATGTTTGCTGCTGTCCTAAAAGTAGGTAAAAATCCAGGACACAGTCCTTCCATCTGGATATGTGTTTATTAAGTTTGATGCAACTTCTTACCCCTTATGTAGAAAGCTAGATTCAATTGCCACAAAATCTCTTATTAGAACTTTTGACCTTGCCATTCAACCCCCTCCCTGCTACTCCTGCCTCATACAACCTAGGTTTGGATTTTTTTCAGGTCCCATGCAAAACAGAAACATAGAATAGCCCAGAGCAGACTTGATGCACAAGACACAGGTAGCTGAGTAGTTTGATATGAGTGAACTCTTAAGGATATGCAATTAATTAGCAACTCAAAAGAAATTCCCTTCAGTTAGGCATACTATCTCTCCCTGTGGAAATGAGTCACTCAAAGTACAGCAGGAGCCTTTGTCTTTTTAGTAATTTAAACATATAGCTGGATTAGAGTCCTTGGCCTTGCCCCTTTGAGAACAGATATGAACTTCTGGCATTTTATAGCATAGCTTAAACCCATAACCAACTGGCTTTACAAAATGCATGGCTCTACCCAGCCTTTAAAGTGGATGAATGGCTACTAAATGGGTGTAAGACAGTAACACTAGGCAGCCTGGCTATGTTAGACTACTGGCTTTATAGATGCGATCATGAAAAGCTGCAAACTGAATCAGTACTAGTGAGTAAAAGAGAACAATGACTGCCCTTTTGTTTATATCCTTATTACATGTAACCACTGCCTTTTAAACATTCTTCACAAGTTGCTAACTTTTATCATCGCATGAATAAATGAAAGCAGAGAAACACATTAACAAAGCAACAGAAAGGGACATGAGTGTTTACATAATCAATGCTGTTTGCCAAAGATAGTGGATAAGATTATCATTTTGAAACTTGATTGTGATGTAGTGCTCCTGATCCAGGTCCACAGGAGTACTAAATGATAAATTTACTTCAGATAACAGTCAAGATAATCTTGCATCTCCAGTTGGCAGGAAGCATATCATGTCAAGCTATAAAAGTGAATAGAAAGAAAGGTTAGCCAAAAACACTTAAAGGGCTCCAGCAATTTTCATATCTAAAAATCAGGGAAGTTCCAATGAGACTTCAAAATCTTTCACACACTGGAATGACTACTGAAGGTTACTACTTCAAAGTAGAAGCATCAGCTGCAGAGATGGAGCTTGCCATTCTGTATACATTAACACCAGAGCAGAATTTTCATTCACATTATCCAATATGTCATGTAAATACAAAAAGTCCTTTGATAATTTTGTACATCAGTAATACAGCACACGGTGTGCAAATTGGTAGTAGATCTGAGCAGGGCTGAGAATTTTTAAAACTTTCAAAAATAATAACTTTAAAAGATTAAAGTCATGGAAACTTCAATCCAAATGTTAACTGCCCAACAAAAAGTATGAGTGAGATAAATTTAATTTTCCCCTTTGTAAATGATAGAAATATTTCCTATGAAACTGATGATCTTGTTATAACACAAAGCAGTAAGCTGTTGTAGGAAGACTTGAACAAAGTCAAATGAGTACCATTTGTAAGCAGTGGTAGGAAAGCCATATGAACCTTCAGGTTATGGGGCAGCACAGAAATGTAATTAAATAATTAAATATGAGTCCTGCCTGCCTGACTCCCGCCCCACCTTGATGCATTTGGCTGATTTCAGAGCCAAAGAATATTTGATTTACCTGTCAATCAAAGAATCTCTCATAGTGGTGGCAATGGTACTTGGCTGTGCTTCATTGAGCTTGAAGACATTCTCAATAACTGATAACTCTGTGCTGGTTGTATCTAACCCACAGAAGGCACACCAGTCGTTCACAACCATTCCAGCAGCAATCACCTCGCTGCCACGATTAACAGTCCCAGCCTGGCAAAAAAGAGAGCACCAAAGGTATTAAGTCCCATGAAGGGCTATGAGATTTTATTTTATTCTGTAAAAGTAATAGTGTATCACCACTAGAAGATCTCCTCTCATATATATATGCATAACAGGTCAGGATTAATTAACTTATTTGAAATTGATTGTCTAGAACCAAGTTAAATAGTTGCCTTGAGTACATTTTAGTGGAAATGTAAGATAAATATTTTAAATAACGTATTTAAGCAGTCAGCAAGAACAAAGTCCTCCAGAACACTGTTTATGTCCCTGCTAAAAGATCTATTTTAAAAGGAAGCCTAAGGTTTTACAATTGTCAGAAGTCTGTGCTTTCATAAAAGGGTTGGCTCACACTTTTCCATTTTCCTGAACATCTAGATTATCAGAAAAAGGTGGAGGACACTGAGAATAGCAAGGTCTAAACAAAAAAAGCTAGTGGATCTCACTGCAAAGGTGGCAAAGAAATGTCATCCCATTTCACAAAGATCCCTTTGCAGCATTGCTTCTCACTTGAATTGGACAACTGTTAAATGAAAACTGAATCCACAAGGCTATTTGTAGCTTTACTTTGTCTATGTCTATTGATAAGACTCCCTGTACTTTAAGAGGAGACACCATCCAGGATACAGACTAGACACTGCCTTGCATTTGGGTTAGTAGGAATTGTGCACCTGTGCAATTCTGAATAAACAGAATTAAAATTTACACAAATCTCGGGTGCATTTTTAATGGTAAAAAATGGTGGTGGTAAACAAGTACTGGGGCACTTGAAGGGGCTGGCACTTCAAAGACTGAAAAGTGATCTTACATCTGTGGCAAATGTAAAAGCCGCTGCTGTTGCAAGACAAGATGGATCTTGCTGACAAGCCTGCAGAGTTACCCACAGGAGGTGGTAACGGACAACCCATGTTAAGAACACGTTGGGCTGTTCCACAAACAATCTACACTGAGCTGCTCATTCTCGGGGTGGGTTGTTGTGTCAGGCAAACATGACCAATGTTTGCCAGCTGCTTTTTCAGTTGCGGAGAGGAAGTTGAAGGTAAGATATGGGAATGCACCCATGAATGGGAAAGAAAACTGCAGAAAGCTATTCAGAACTAAAAAGGAATAAAGAGAAATGGGTTAAGAAGTCTCTTCCCCACTGTTCTGTTCAGATGGATTATTTAACGAGAAAGCAAAGATACTAACTGATCTGTTATCAACCTAGCTTTTAACATGAATAGTGCATGGAATATTTTCAAAATTTGATAGGATTCTTAGAGGCATATGAATAAGATTAAATGGCTGAAGAGTTACATTAACAATGACAAAATTTAGCATTCCAAAATTTTCTTTGCACTATTCTAGGACAAGCAGCAGCATTATTACAAGCACTTAAGGTGCTACTTTTTTAGCCACACATGGAAAACCTTGATTCTGTTCCACAAAAATCCTTCTGAAAATCATTTTAATCATTAACACTGGAAAGAACTTTCATTGCCTGTTACGGGCAAAGAAACACACACATTTAGTCACACAGGTTGGACTGGCATTCTCTCAACATACTGCCATTTCATTTTTAAGCAATTTTATCTTCAGGTTATTATTTTCAAGATTCTTCTCAGTCCCCTCTCCAATGCCCTCCATGCACACCATTTCTAAAAATACTACCCCCCTCAATTTTGTCTTATAGCATGTCTCACATGACATGAAAAATAAGTTATCACAGCTATATCCCTCAACTTCTTCTGAAGCATCCAATCCTTTTTTGTGGCTTCTATTTCTTTTATGAGCACACCATTTTGTTCATGCGTAATTCTACTTGGGAAAGGCCAGTCTTACTGCACTTCTACATATTGTCCAGCCCCATACTGCAGAACCCAAGAAGCAGATGCAACAAGGATCTCCTATTCAGAATTAAGGTATGTCTACGGTGACACAAGGGGTAGGATTCTGCATGCATTGCCCACCTACACACAAATTCAGTGATGTCAGAACATTTCAAAGACTCAGCTTGACATACGCTTTACTGTATAGGAAACTCTGAAATGTAAAGAGAAACAGTATTTACCACAAGTGGGACTTGCAACAATGACGAGAGCTCATCCTGGTCTTCAATGGATGTCTTAGGGTGCACCAGCCCCCCTTGGTTGCTAAATGCACAGTAGCTTCCTACTAGTACTTGGTCCGCTACTGTCTGTCTGAATACTTCTACTTTTAGTACATCTGCCAAAATCTCTTCTGTCTCCTATAAATAAAAAACAAACATTGAAAACATTTAAAACTATGGCTAATAACAGATGAAGATATAACTTGCCTCCAAGGGGAGGTTAGTTCCAAGTTTGGCTAGTCAGTCACATAACTTTTCAAACTTCTGTGTAATAATTCAGAAAGTAAATAATCCTGGAATGCAATCATATAACTAATAGAGTGCTTCTTCCTGGTATGCAGAGAAATCATAAACCAGAAATAACATGTGAATAATCTAAGGCAGAGGACAGAGATACACTCAAATGCCTTTTCTATATTGGAATTGTCACTTTACTGAGACAGTAAGCTGAGTAGGCAGATTTCAGGACTAGAAAACATTCTTTGGCTCATTAAAGCATTTGCTACACAATCATTTTCATCTTCTGACTCCTTTTCTAGTTTTTAGTTCTATTCTTGTTCTCTAGTTTCTTCAATTTTTTCTTCTTTTTGAACTTTTTCTTTGCCTCACCCCAAAAGTAGTACGGTGGTCAGTCTGCTTAGAGGATTAAAATTAAAATGGTCACTGCCACAATTGCGAGCTCAAGGCCCATACCATGCATACCAATTATTCTGAAAAAATGATACAGCTGCTTGTAGCAAAGCCCACTCAATTGTAAAAGTCTGCATGGGAGAGAGAATCTCTTCCAAATTCCTGCTAATAAACATTTATTGGTAACAAAGTGCTAGCTGCTGAAAAATTCGTATAAAAACTCCTTTACTCTGTCAATGTCTGGATGAACAAGTGCAACATAGTCATTGCATGTAGTGACATTTCCCAAGGCAGAGAGGCGTTCTTCTATTCGCTGAATTCGCACAGAGTCTGGAAGGGAGTTTCGGATGTGCTGAAGCTCCTGGTCTGTTGTATTGTTTGGGACTAATAACCCATGCCTATTTCCTTAAAACCAAAAACAAAGACAATTCTACTTAAGATTCACGAATAATGGCTCTAAATTTCTACCTTCATTTTTTCCCAGTTTATGAACTTCCATATCATACAAGAAACCATAGGGCCAAAAGGCAAGAAGACTAGTCCAACTCTGATAGCACTGTTGTTGTAACTCTTGTTGTCCTTTCCCTGGACTATAGCATGCTGCAGTCAAGGAATTGCTGGATTACAGAAATGAATATGCAAAGCAAATATTGTAGGTAAACCAAGCCATATACATTATAGGGAAAGGACAACCCTCTGTCTTCTCCCATTACAAACTACCATTGTCAGACATAAAAATACAGTATAATAAATGCAAAAATATATACCTAGCAAACTAACACCTGAAGCACTAAGTTATTATGTTATAACAGTTTTATTAAGTTAATTATTTCACTTTTAAAAATGTTTATATTTCACCTTATAAGGCAGCTTACAACAAAATGCACACAGAATCAATTTGTCTTACCCACACACATTCTCCCTATGATCCGACATCCAGCAATAGAAGCATGAACTACAGGAATTGTATCAGAAAGCTCCCCTTCAAAGACACTGAAATACAGCAGAACAGAGCTTTTCAATATTGTAAAACCACATACAACATAGAAAAACCTGCAAGAACTTTAGGAAAGGATTAGCCTGCAAGCTAACAAACCTTGCTGCATCACAAAACTAAAGGCCTTGTGGCATCTCCAAAGCAAACACATTCATTACAGCATATATAAAAAAGCAGAACATTGTATTTACTACCAGTATGGGAGATTTAAGTGCCAGACAGTGCTTAAATCAATACACAATAGAAACTGTGAGTACATGGTGAGTCATTAGGGATGTAATCCTATGCATAACCTGGAACTCCCAGCAAGGCTGAGTGAAACATATCCAGAATTTAGACAGAAATCATTCCTATATTTCTAAGCATGGCTAATTATGCTGACACAGCAAGCTTGAGTAATGCAGGAAGCTGTAGGAATTATCTCTGTCTGAACATGGATCAGATTGCTCTTTCAGAATTAGGGAAAGCCCGGTATCCTTTCCCATTTCTTATTTTCTAAAGATGAAAAACGGGGGCTTATTTTTTATTTAATATTATACATTAAATTAGTCGGAGAACTCTCCAAGTGGATTACAAAAGTTCCTAAATACAGTGAATAAGAACACAAAAATCGATCATCAAGAATCACCACGGACAGGAAAAACCACCTTAATGGATTCTCTGTAAACTTGATCAATGTTCTTGGCTGTGAGGACGACTTCATGGGATAACTACAGCAGTGTTTCTCTCATGTCTACGACCTTATCAACTCTATTTACTTATTTACTTCACCTTTTTCCTATCAACAAACCCAAGGCAGTTCACAGAATTCTCTCCGTTTTCTCCTCACAACAACCTGGTGAGGTAGGTTAGGGTGAGTCTGTGACCGGCCCAAAGTCGCTCAGTAACTCTCATGGTCCACTGGGGCCTAGCCCCGGGTCTCTCGAGACCGAATCCAACATTCATCAGTGCGCTACACTGACCCTCGACAAGGGCTGCATCCCGGCTTCCAACCAGGAAACGCTAACGAGGGGCATCCTCGACCGAAGGAAAGGCGCCCGCAGCTTCCGCCCTCGAACAAAAGCTCGAGGCGGCCGGCTCTTCAAGGGGACCCTTCGCTGTGGGAAGGAAGCGTGGGAACCCGAACGAGGCCCGGCCCCCCCGTCACCTGTAGAAGCCCTCTGAGCCTCCGATGGCCACCAGGCAGTAGGCGTTAGTGAGCTTGGCGAAGCAACCGATCTCGTTGTTGTTCTCGAAGCTGGCCCGGACCGCCATAACCGAACGAGGAGCAGCAAAAGGAAGAAGAAGCCCGAGCCGCTCTTTGCCCGTTTCCTAGACACGCGGACGGAGGACCGAGCCCGTCGTCCGGAAGCGGAATGACGTCAACTCTCCTGCAATCCCGCCGCCTCCATCAGTCATAGATTATTATAATTAGACTGACAAACTGAGGGTATTTTCCGGATATGTTAGGGGTGGGAGTCTTTTTCCCCTCAGGCCGATGAAAGCAAGAGCCATCCGCGGAATCGAGAGTATTTGCTAGTTAGGCTACAATTACTGGATGACAAATTTAATATGGCGTAAACTTTCATGGAGTATAATGACTTGAGGCGCAATCCTATGCAAGTTTAGAAAGAAAAGGCTTAGAATTCCCAATATCTTTTTTTTGCAAGAGACTAAACGTGCAATCCTAGTTCTGTTTAGACAGAAAAACCAGTCTAGGGGATGTTGGGAGTTGTGCGACTTTTGTCTAAATATGTTTAGGACTGTATCCTAATATGGCTACCTATCTGAAAAAAATGCGTTATTTAGCTGGGGCAGCGGTCTCACGCTGTCAACAAGGCAGCAGTTTCTTGATGTCCTAATTCGGGTATCCTTACGGAAGCGGGGGACATGGTTTTTGTTTGAGAAAACATTTCACAGCATACAGGAAGGCAAGGCTTCTGCGCGCTGCGCTTGGGCTCAGAAGGCGTCTGAAGAGGTACGCTGTAAGCGGCTGATTTTTGTTTGGGGCTGGAAACTGAGATCAGGCTCAGACTCATCTTTCATCCTCATTCTTCAGTGTAGTAATAGCCTGCGTTGCAGGGCTGTCCTAAGCCAGTTACAGGTTGGGTGCCCCAACCGGCGATGTGGGGATGTATCGGCCAAATTTTCTTAATGCTGTATATAACGTTAAAAAAACCCTGCGACTGTAGAACAAGCATGCAACTTTTTGTTAGTCAAGTTGCAGCCCAGTCAAAGCTACGCTGAAATCCCTAATTTCTAGAGAATACTAAATCCGCTCAAGCGGGGGGGGGGGGGTAGTTAAAAATTTTCCCAGTTTAACCTGGAGATTTCCTCAGCCAGACCGTATGAGTGATCACTTCCCCGGTCCCTACAATCAACAGTTGAGCAATAGCTTCATTACATCACAAAAGGGGCAGTTTGGTTGGTTATAACTGAGGTTCATTTTTTTCTCTCTCTCTGGTTTCCACCCTCCAGACGAGCAGTAGAGAAGGCGGCTAGAGCGTCCTCACTGTTGTTGGCACGATCCCGAATCTTTCCTACCGCCACTTGAGGGCGGGGCAGGCCCGTTTTAAAGGACCGGAAGATCGGGGTCCCTCGCAGGGATGACTTCCTGTCCCAGCGTAATCTTGTTCGCGAGGAATGGCTGTAGAGGAGTCGTAGTGGCGGGATATCCTGGCTTCGGCTCAGCTAATATCCACAACTGCATTTCTAGCGAGAGGGAAATGCTCTAGATTCCCATTCCGGGGGCGCCGTTTTCGCTCCTCAAGGATCACTAACGATAGGGCGGAAAGAGGGTGGGTGGGGAGAGGAGAGTATTTAAAGAACTGGTTAGTGCACTAACTTCCTCTACGACTCTTGTGGCACCTTGAAGACCAAGTAGTTTATTCTGGTGTAAGCTTTTCTGAACTATAGTGGTATAATAGTACACGAAAGTTTATGCCGGAATAAATTAAACTTGAAGTTGCCATAAGACTCTGTTGTTTTTACTAGTCTAGACTAGCTATCACAATACAATTTGTAGCCCTCCAAATGTTGATGGATTGCAGGTTTAGGCAGCATAGCCAGTGCAAAAGAATTGCACTCCAACATCATGGGTGGGGGGGAGTTTACAAATTGCCCATCCCTATTGTACTTTGGGGGCCATGCTTCAGGGTGAATCACATAATTTATCAGTAACACTTGTATGCTGCCCTACAACAAAGTTATGTGGGTAACTCGATAAATGACCATCAGTGCAATTCAGGTATGATAGAGCCTAAAATCACTGTGTTGGATACAGAGTTGGTCATCTCTTGAATAAAACCATTGAAAGCCATGAAACTTAAGTTAGTTGTAATTGTCGCATTGATTTCAATGGGTGTACTCTATGTTCAATATAATTGGGAACAGAATTGGAAATAAAACTGTCAAGATTATACTCCACTTAAACAAAATTTTGGTGTAGGCACACTTAGAATATTGTGGTAACCTTACCTGAAAAAGGGCATTATTGTGTTACATAAAGTGCAGAGAAGGGCAACTAAAACGAACAAGGGGTTGGAGCAACCCCTCTATGAGCATTAGATGGTTTAGCTTAGAAAAAGGGTGAGTAAAGGGAGACATGACAGAAGCATTTAAAGTTATGCATGATGTGAAGAAAGTGGAGAGGGAGACATTTTTCTCCCACTCCCATATTACTAGATTTTCAGGTGGGTCATCCCATGAAACTGATTGGTGGAAGGTTTGGAACAGATAAAAGGAACAACTTTTTCACATAGTTAAACTATGAAATTCACTGCCACAGGAAGTAGTAATGGCTTTGGATGGCTGTAAAGCAGGGGATTGGACAAATTCATGGAGGAGGAGGCTATCAGTGGCTACTAGCTTGGTTATATGTGTGTTATCTCCATTATCAGAGCCAGCATGCCTGAATGCACCAGTTGCCAAGGAGCTTGGACAGGTGCAAGTCTTGCACCCATTTTGCTCAAGAAATCCTGTGGATAGCTGGTTGCCCCCATGTGAATTAAAGTGCTGGACTAGATGAACCATTGGTCTAATCCAGCATGGGGGTGCTTGTGCTCTTATGTTCTATCAGCAATTCATAGAAAACCAAAGCCTTATTAGTATTTTTACAGAAATTTGTCTCCAATCTCCACAATAGAATTCTCAAAGTGGATAATGTAGTAGCAATATACTAATGCAGTCAGTCCCATAATCAGTGCTCAGAAATGCAGCTATAACTATGCTGGCTTCTGGGTTTTAAGCAGGCTTCTGAAGAGTAGATGGCTGTCTAATATCAGAGGGAAGTATGATATGAGGCCACATGGCACTCTTACAAATGCATCATCCAAGCCTTGTAAAGTGATCTTTGTGTTATCCCAATTCTAAGTTGTTCAGGGTTGTTCAAAACATTCTAAGTTTGTTTGCAACAAATTTGTAAACATCCAGTAGCTTAATGGCAGGCAATGCACTTTTTAAAAACATGGATATGATATGTTGTTGAAAAGAGGCCCCAGTTAATAGCACCCTGAATGCACACTGCAACGGCTGTAACTTTCTGACCAAGGCCAAATGTATAGTCCCACTCAGAGCTTGTTACAATAATCTAGTTTTGTGTTTACCAGTGTCTGAACCACTGTGGTCAAACTGCCTTAGTCCAGGAACAGCCACAGCTGGTATTCCAGCTGAAGGTGGAAAAAAGGCACTCTCAGCCACCAAGGCCATCTGAGCCTCCAGTGACAACGCAACTAGAAGCCCACCCAGGCTATTCAGCTGTTCCTTTAGAGAGGGTGCAGCCATATCCAAAACAGGCAAGCAGCCTGTTTAAAGCTCCTGTGACCCACCTACCCACAGTACTTCCATCTTGCCGGAATTCAAATTGGCCTCCATCCAGCCCACTACGGGACCCAAGCAATGATTAAGATCCTCCACAGGGACAGGGTAGTTGATGGGTCACATAAGTGAGACCAAGTCTCATTAACTGAAATTGATCCCACCAGACATGACTAGGTGAGACATTAGACACCTGATGTGGATGGTAGCATTTAGACTGTGGCTTTTTAAACAAGCGGGACCGGTTACTCTTGCAGCCCTATTCTGGGCCAACAGCAGTTTCCAAACTATTCTTGGTACTAACCACATGCATAAAACATTGGAATGGCTCGGTGCAACAGAATAATTAAGCTTTGCATAACAGAAGTTTTCAGGTACTGTACTGGGACCTCATCCATGCCCAAGAAGTTGGAAAAGCTCCTGCCAAGGAGAGTATACAGCCCTAGACTACATGGACTCAGTGCAGGACTGCTGCATATAACCTGTATGGTGACTAGTTGCCCTTCTTTTGCAGTGGAGGATACTCCGCTTGTGTTTCTGTTTTCTAAATTATACACCCTTCTGTACAACTTCAGTACAAGAATGCCTACAAACAAAAAATCGTACACTCTAGTTCCTTGTAAGATTAATAAGCACAAACTAGCAGAGTTCATTGTTTCAAAAGTACAGATGGGCCATTAAGATAAGTGTAATTCTGTGTAATTCATTCCCAGGGTGCACTGCTTAGGTGCCTACCTTGCCTTTCTCTCTTTCATTGGTCCGCACACTTCCCTGTCCATAGCCATTCCCTTTTATTTACCCCCCCCCCTTCAGCTAAAGCAACTGCTTACTTACTGGACTAGCACTTTTGCCGCTGCAGTGCTCTGTGCCAGTATATAAACATATCAGTCCACTCCCACAGTCCTCCCTTGCAGGTCATCCAGGGCTTCCCTGTACACCAGACTCATGCACACTGCCATGGGTTGCCTCCTGCCTGCAGTCATGCACACAAAGCACATCGGTGTGGGCAGGCTGTGTCAATCCCTGCACAAGCTCTGCTGCCCGCCAGCTGTAGTTGCATACTATCCCCCACCTCCCACCCCTTGGCATCCAGGTGTCTTCTGCCATTCACTGTCCCTGGCACTGCCTGCTCCCTCACTTGCACAGACATCCACATGCATAGCTAGGTTGCAGCAATGCACTAGGGCAGTGGTGGTGAAACGACGGCACGCGTGCCACAGTGGGCACGCAGAGCCCTCTCTGTCAGCACGCAAGCCAAGTCGCCCCCACATCGCCCCGGCAGCTGAGCATCGGATAACAGCGCACACAGGGGCCATGCACATGCTCTGAAAGGAGTCGTGGCACCAGGCACTGATGTCACGAGCTGCGACTCATTAGCCGCGACTCGTCCCAGCTTTCGTATGACCGGTCAGTGCACTGCCAAGGACATATATTGATTGGACGGGCTGTGAGTTGTTTTTTTGAAACTGAAACCTGTTTTCAGGTTTTATTGCAGTGTTGGCACTTTGCGATAAACAAGTGGGTTTTGGGTTGCAGTTTGGGCACTTGGTCTCTAAAAGGTTCACCATCACTGCATTAGGGTTAGAAAAAGGAGGCATCCTGGCATGATTTTGATGTTTGGAATGTGTTTAGAATGGGCAGAAATGGTGAGCTGTGCAGAAAAAGCGACTCAAGGAAGGCTTTTTCAAAATTGCCATCTTTTCAATGGAACTTTCACCCTATATTAGGGTTAGGGGTGTGCATCAAAGAAGGGTTAGGGTTAGAAAAATGAGGTGTCATGGTATGATTTTGATGTTTGGAATGTGTTTAGAATGGGCAGAAATGGTGAGCTGTGCAGAAAAAGCGACTCAAGGAAGGCTTTTCCAATATTGCCCTCTTTTCAGTGGAACTATAGCCCTATATTAGGGTTAGGGCAGTGGTGGAAAAACGACGGCACGCGTGCCACAGTGGGCATGCAGAGCCCTGTCTGTCAGCACATGAGCCAAGTCGCCCCAGCATCGCCCCAGCAGCTAAGCGTGGGATAAAAGTGCACATAGGGGCCATGCACATGCTCAGAAAGGAGTTGCAGTGCCAGGCAATGATGTCACAAGCCGCGACTCTTTAGGTGTGACTCATCCGAGCTTATGGCTCCAGCGGTGGTGTTAGGAGCGAGCCCACAAGAGTTGGAGCCCCAAATCTGTCACTTGGAGCCTGGAACCTCTGAAAGGGTACTTGCTCAGCCACTCTGCAGCCCATGGGCACTTGCTGAAAGATAGGTGCAGAGGCCTGATGGTCTGTGTTGCATGGGATCATCTGGGGTTTGTTGGCTTTTTTTCTCACATGTGCTTCATTTCCTGCTGCCCTTCGCTTTCTGCCTGAGGTTTTTCTGAAATAAAATACTTTCCACTATCCATATATCTGTCATACAAGTAGGAGTGTCCTTATGATACACAGTCCATTAAGGGCATGCAAACACTTTAGCACATGCAAATTTGTGGATTTCTTTGTTTCTTTCAGTTCTTGTTTGTTTGGCTCTGTGGGTCTCAGGTGGGATCTTTTCCATACCTAGTACTTCCCCCGCACTTCTCCATGCAATTTCCCCACCAAGCCTGTACTCCTTAGTCTTATAGCAGGGAAGTTTACAGGACCTCTAGAGGCTGCTTTGCCATTGTTCTCTTCTGTGGTCTGTATCAAGGAAGGTTATCTGATTCAAAAGTATTCCCCAAAGGACCATCCTGTTGTCTTCCTTGTTTTAATATGAGCCATATTCTCGTTTTTTACATTTTCCTGATCTCATTCTACTGAAAGTCCATTCTATCCATTTGTTTCCAAACCCCATGATACTTACCGTATTTTTCCGACCATAAGAGGCCTCCACGTATAGGACGCCCCCCCCCCACTTTTCTTACCGATCTCTGAGCGAACAAGCTGCTGCTGCACATATGCGCCCGCCACCTCCCCGCATGAACCCCCGCACCAGTCTCCCCCCCATCGTGCCCGCACCTGCCTCCCCCCTCCCTGATTGTGCCCGCGATCGTGCCAGTCTCCCCCCACCAGCGCGCCCACAGTTCTCCTCTCGCCCTCTCCCCCCGTGTATAAGATGCCCCTCTATTTTTAGGTAAGTATTTTTAAGAAAAAGTATAATCTTATACACGGAAAACTACAGTACATTTTGCATTTGTCCAGTTGCAGCAAGTCTCCCTCCCAGTTTACTAGATCCAAAGCACCCTCCCCATGTCCTCACTCGGAGACAATAACTGCCCCACTCTCCTCCATCTCTTTCTTCCTTTCCCTCACATTCTGTAGGCTTATTCAGAAGAGCTGCCTGTTCAAACCATGCTTTGTCTGTATAGTTACAATTCTTATTCGTACTACCTTGGGCCAGTCTTGAGTTTGATATATAACAAGCATCAGGAATTACAACTTGCTCCTCCCTGCTAAGTAAAAGCAAGTTTAGTAAGCATAACATGTTTTAAGTGCTTTAATTTCAGAGGGTTACACATATAATTAAACTTGTGATTGGAATCAAAGGGCCTTCAAAGTGTGCATCTTTGGCTGGACTGTGACCTAATTCTTCTTCAACGACTCATGTGAAGGAGCTCTGCTATGACTGTAAATCCATTACTGAAACCCAAACTCTGTTTGGGATAAATACAATATAGCTTCATGTAACTGAAAAATGCATCACAATATGTACAGATCTAGGGCAGTATTCAGGTCGTACCAACAGATGTTCAGGTCATGTCCAGTCATATCCATCCACTCACAGAAATATCTGCTTGCAAACTAGACACTAATGGGAGTAGCCAGATCTTCACAACTCCCACATTATGCAATAATACATGTTTATTACACACAGAGATGAGCTCATTAATTTGGCCCTTCCCTTGCTGTCTTCCATTACAGAGTTCACAAGCTATTTAAGTATAGCTTCTCTAACCAAACTAATATAGCCTTGACAAGAAAATATTTTATCATAGAAGCAGAGATTCTGACTTGAACAAGCAGAGGAATTTAAAAAGTAGTTTCACTGAATTTCATATTACTAATGTCTCACTAGAGAAAACTGCACATGTTGGTTCGTTCTTTCTGTGAAGGAGGCACCTTGAAGCCTGTGCACTCATCTTCTGAAGTATGAGATTTCTATTCATCGGCTTATTTATTTACTTATTGACGACATTTGTGTCATGCCTTTTCTCCAACTTACTGAGGGAGATGTACATGCCCTAACATTTTATCTTCACAACCACTCTGTGGGATAGGATAGGCCAAGAAATGGGGACACATCCAAGGCCACTCAATGAGCTTCATGAGCAAACAGGCCCCTCCATTCCCAGTGCAAAACTGTGCCCACCATGAAATATCCCCACAATCTGCCCCTCAGTTACTTCAGGCATTTCCAGACACGTCTGTGAGGCACAAGTTCTCAGACTGAAAATTTTGTTTTCAGCTCTCGGAGTATATTATTTTTAAATCCCATAAGGCTTACAATATCATACTTCATTCTTGCTCAGCTATTTGATTATACTTCTAGATCCATTTTTATGTCTTCTCAATATTTTCTGCAAAATCTGACACCCACACCAATGTAAAATTGGAGATGTTGAACTTGTATTCATTTCTACAGATTCAATGTCTGCACAATATCCATTCAACTAAAATAAATCTTTTCTGATAAACCCAGAATACAGATTACATTTCAAACCGACTGTGAATTTGCTTTGCTTTTGTCTTGTTAAAGTTGGTAATCAGATCCAGTTTACTGTGACCAAGAGTCATCCTCTTTTCATCCCTGTGTAACTTGCTGTTGTTTTCCGCTGGTGGATCATTGGAGAAACCATAGGAACCATGAATTCTGGGCCTCATCTCACTATTTACTGATTTAGTTACCTTGTTAATGAGATCTGGTTTGGTATATCCATAAGTTACTGCTTTTTCATCCTTCTGTATTTTGCTTACATCCTCCAGTGGTTGAACAGGAAAGAATTTACTGTTACCTTTTATTCCAATACTCTCAGGCAGAGGCTGCAAATCACTACCATCTCTTGTGTTGTTGCCTAGTATTGGTGAAGATGTTGACAGGAAAGATGTCTTAGTTCTTAGTAGATTAGATGCATCATTGACTGGATACTTAGCTGATGTACTGTAGCTAGAGTCTGGCAGTGCCCTGGGCTGGTGTATCAAGTCACTAACACCCAAGAAGCCTGAAATATTCTTTCTTGGTTCACTGGGAGTTGGTTCTTTCTTTTCACAGGCTACAGGAAAAGGCAAAGGGTTAAAATATGGTGCTCTCTTTATACTTGCTGTGCTTGAATTGGAGGGGCTACTTGAGAGGCTTGTGGTTTCACTCTCATTCAGGTGGACGTGCTTTAAAATCGGTTCATTTTTTTGTAGGATTCTGGGAGGTGAGGAACTCGGTCTTTCATTACTGGGTTTACTGAGCTGATCCACAGATCTAGACTCAGCGTATATGCATCGGAATTCTCTGTCAAAATCCTCAACAATTTTTCCCTTGAAGTGTATCACCAGACCAGTGTGGACTTGGCTGCACAGCCAGGTAAAGCTGAAAAGGAATTTCAAGAAGGCAAAACTTATCAACATGGAACTCACATTAATGTCAAATATGCATTGCCCTCAGATATTGGAGAGCTGAATGGCCACTAATAGTCACTTGCAACATCAGTAGGATGTTGTTGCATCTGTCCGTGAAAATAATAGGTGGAACAGTTTGAAGATCAGTGTCTCAGGATGAGTTCAGCTGAAGCTATGACTTGAACAAACACGCTATTGCAGGTAGTTTGCTCTAGTAGAGATCACAATTTCTAAGTTTTTTAATCTTATAACACTAGGATTTCCTAGAACTGCCCAGTATGTGTAACCCAGATTTAACTTCTAAATTGACCACTTATTTGTTCCATAGCTTACAGAATGTGAAAAGCCCACTGAAGCCAAGATAATCCGCACACCTGGCAACTCTAGGTGGCACTGCCCAGGTAATACATCTTACAGAGGTTCAGGTTTTACTTTGTCAACCCCAGTTGGAAGCACTGTACAGCAACTGGGTCAAAGGAAAGATAGAGGACTTGACACAGTGCCCAGCTCATTCTGTATGAAGATACAGTGCTAGAACTCTGTTTTCTGTGTTAAGGAGCAGAGCTGATTGTCAAATTGTTCACTGACATCTAAGATGCATACTGCAATCCTTGCTATTTGAAGTTACACAGAAGAATGCATTTTTGAAATGGAATTTTGCATACATTGAAGTGCATTGAGAACACATTGTAGGGAAAATAGGAGAAGGAGAAGGCTTCATAATGTTACAGATGTGGTGAGTCAGATGTGGATTTTCTGGGTGTAAGAAAGTTTTATTAGTCAGACAACTACAATTACTTGTTAAAACAAACTAAAGCTATTTCCTGATAAGTAAGCCAAGGAAATGGCTTGCCTGGCAAAGTAATTGAGGGATGCAGATACAAAGGAAGATAGGAAAACTACACTTACTGATAATGAGATAAAGATGTGATCACATCAGGAAGAGAGGAAGCAAGAAATGGAAGACTATGTATCAGGCTGCTGTGAAAAGTAAGATATCTTTTATATTAAACTTTGGTCATTGTGAATCTACATGTGTGAAGCTCTCCAAAATTCTATTTGAGAGACTGAATTTCAGCTATAAAGCTCAGTGACTCTCTCAATCCAATCAACCAATCAGGGTTGTTGTAATGCTGAAAGAGGGGTCTGAATGCACCAGAGATGCAGAACCTCTTTCAGCCTGAGAGGCTCCTGAGCAGGGGTGGGGCTGCGAACAAATCTGGCCTATTGGACAAAGATTAGCACAATTTTGCATATGCTAATTTACAGATACAAACATATGTGTATAATTAGACGTATGTACTATGATTAAAATCTTGTAGAAGACAATTACCCCCTCGCTTGCTTTAATCACAGAACTGTGCAATGTTCTAGACTATGTTATTTAAAACTTACCCTCTTTCCTTGGCCCTTTGGGCACAAAACAAGATGGAGTGCCTGGAACCAGCAAAAGCTGCATGGCATTTTCTGCATTTAGTGTTTAATTGCAGTCTCAGCATGGCACACTGGCAAGAGGCAGTGTGAGAATAGTGTGGATATGAGAGTGTGAATAATATAATAACCTGTGTTCCTATTTATTAGATTATATCCCACCTTTTTCTTTTTTAAAGGACTCGAAACAGCTTATACTATTCTCCTCCTGCTGCTCTCAATCTTATCCCCACAACAACAACCCTGTGAGGTAGGTTGGGCTGAGAGTCTGTGACTGGCCCGAAGTCACCCAGTTGGCTCCATGGCTGAACAGGGATTAGAACCCAGATCACCTGGGTTGAGTCGTACATTTTAAGCACCACACCAGCTCTCTCTCATAGCCTAAAAGCTTATGCGATTACTGGAAAGTAGCCCTCATTAAACCTAGTAGGGTAACCTGCTGGGTAACTCCTCACTAACTTTTCACCCTGCCCACATCACCACCAACTGCAACAACACTGGAGCCCCAAGGACTTTGCTTTCTTGCCCCTGTCCCCTGAACCAGTAATTTAATAAGCAGATCCAATTAAATTCAGTGAGCTTATTCCCAGGTAGTTTAGGACTGCAGCCTCATAATACAATTCCATACATAGAAGAAAGGCCTTTTATGATCAATTGTAGCTTACTGTTTGATAAATGTGTTTAGAATTACAATCCTGGACTGCTTTCATAAGAGGCACTTAAAATTTCCTATATCAGTATGGTCGTATCACTCCAATTTGTGGTGTGTGGTTTGATGAGTTAACATACCTGCCATTTCCTAGCTCAAGAGAAGCCATTTTTCTCTATGGCAGAAATGGGCATGGGCAACAGATACTGCAATCTTTCTATTCACTGGAATAGCAAAACAGGCTTCTGTCACACACATCAGATCACATCAGTAATATAATAATACTGAATAATGAAAATGTGCCACATAAGGTAGAACATGAAGACAATTCACAAGTTCCATTAGAGGCAAATATAGGTGTACTTAGCCTATTAAATCATTGTTTATGATTTCTTACCTATAGGTCCCTGCAAGGACTTCTTCACAGTCTATCATCACAAATTTCTCAAGAGCTTGTCCTGTGAGCTTCTTGCCAGCTTTGCTGTAGTATGTTTCTCCACTCACATAACGTATGCGCATATTCTGAAATGGAAAGAAGGCATAACAGAGTTCCAAAGGAGGAGGGACAGATTGATTTTCCTTCCTGTGCTAAGCTTGTATATGAATGTGACATATAAATGAGGAATTTGCAATCTGTAACTAAATCAATGCTGCGTGCAAAATTTAAGGAAAAGATTCTGTGAAAGGTAGTATCCCTGGCCCTTGTTCCATCAACATTAATAGTGCAATTCTACAAATACGGATGCAGAACTTCAGTTCTTCTGAGTTCATTGGAAATTACTCCCAAGTGGGTATAGGATTGCAGCCTACAGTATATAGCTATACAAAATATATGGGGGGCACACACACACACACACACAAATATATGAATGATAGCAAAAGTGCTGGAAAATATAGGAAGCTTAGGAAAAAACACCACCAGCAAAGGGCAACCTTAGACATGATGACAGCAGGCCTGTCCATTTAAACTTGGATCTGCCTCATTCGTATGTAAGGCAGTATGTATGCATGTAAGTATGGTTTTCTTTGAAGAGCAAAGGAGATGTGGAGGTGACAGGGATAAATCTCTGTGCCAGCATCTCAGTCAAGTTTCTCCTCTGGAATTTGCTCCTGAGCTGAGTTCTAATAACAAAAGTAAGCTTGGCTGGGAGAAAACTCCTTATGTTGTCTTTTGTGTATATGCACACGTGTGTGTGAAGAGAGAGAGAGAGAAATGTGAGAGAGTCATTATTAAACACATTTTTAACATTGCTCTTAATTCACCAAGAAAGTAAACTAGAAACATACTGGGAAGTCATCCATGGTGAGATCCATTTTATTGCACATTTCTGTGAAGTGGTTCAGGCTTTTTTCATCAAGGATCAGGTAAACAGGAACACAGCGTCTGCTCGAACACTCTATCAGATCACTGAGTATTTCCATATCGGTGAAGAGATCCATCACAATCGCAATCACCTGTAATAATTTGCATGATGAGGAAGAGGAGAGAAATAATAGAATTTAAAAAACAAACCAATAATGAATCTACACTATTTAGATTGTGTTTCTCAAACCTAGCAATTCAAGAAATGTTGTAACTGATAACTGAAGCTTTAACCCTAATGCTCACAGTGCATCTGGAAAGCTTCAGCAAAGGCAGGGCACTTCGGGTTTTTCTGGACAATTCACTTTATTTGCTTCTTCTAATTCCAGGCCCTTAGACATGCACAGTAACTCTATTTTCGTAACCCTAACATACATTTTTACAATAATACAGTAAATAACACATGACAGTCCTGCTGGAAATTCACTATTTCTGCCTCATCTGAGCTAGTTCTAGACCCTTAGATATGTCCAGGATTTTTCTTAACAGCTTACTCTTTCTGATGCCTCTGAGCTAACTCCAGGCTGTTAGACATACCTAGAGTTTGATAGTTTCCTAATGCTAACTCGAGCCTTAACTAGAAGCCTATAGCTCATTCTAGCAAACCCATATTCTGCCTATGCATTGGTAAAAGTTTCAGGACAGGCAACATATTCAGGGTGTCTCTGCTCAATGCTTGCTTTTTCTGCTACGCCTATGCTAGTTGCAAGACACTTCCCATACCCAGGGCCTCATATTTTCCTAACCTAAAGCCTAACTTGAGTTTAACCCTAAGACTCATAGTGCCTTATACATTTGGAAATTTTCAGGAAAGGCAGCACTCTTAATTTTTTCTCTGACAGCTCACTCTTTCTGCCTCCTCTAAGTTAGTTTCAGGCTGTTAGATATATGTACCTAGGGACTGATAGTTTCCTAGCTCAGACTCTAAATATAACCATTGTAAGCCCTCCTGAGATGCCAGACATAGAGGACAGCATATAAAAGTTTTAAATAAATAAATAATAGCCCTTACCCCTGCACTAACCCTAACCTGGACCTTTTATCTCACTCTAGCATCCCTGCATACTCCTTTTTGCATGTGTAAAACTTCAGCAAAGACAGTACACTCAGTGTTCTTGAGGTTATACTGCACCCATGAACACGATATACCTTTGATGCTGTTGGAAATTTTCAGGACATGTCAGGAAGTACTCCCAGGATGTATGTATGTATGTATGTATGTATGTATGTATTTATTTGGGCAGTGCACTAAGTTTGCTACATCTTAACTAGTTCCAGGCTGTTAGATATACATCCTATCCCTATCCCTGTCCCAAAGCTTAAAGCTCACTCTGGCTTCTGCATAGTCTTCCTTTGCGTTTGTGAATTTTCAGGAAAGGCAGCACATTCAGGGTCTCTCCCCAACAATCCTTACTTTTTCTGCAGCATTGGAGCTTGTTGAAAGCCTGAACCCATACTCAGGATCTCATATTTTCCAACTCTTAACTGTAAACTGAGGCTTAACCCTAAGTCACCCTGCACAAGATACTCCCCTGTTGAGGTGGAAAATTTTTGGAAAGGCTGTGCACTCAGCATCTTTTTTTATATAACTTGCTCTTTTTGCCTGATTTGAGTTAGTTCCAGGCTCTTTGTCATACACAGAGAGCAATATTTTCCAGTCCCTAAGTGTGGTCTAGCTCTAACTTGAAGCTTATTACTCACTCTAGCATCTGTGTATCATCCCTGTCCATTTGGCATGTTTCAGCAAATGCATCACATTCAGTGCTTTTGTTACTTGCAGCACCTGAGCTAGTTGCAAGACCCTGGCTGTACCAAAGTTCTCTTGTTTTGCTAATCCTAGCCTGAAGCTTAACTTTACAACTCAGAGTGCTAGATAATCTCTATGCATTGGTTAAGTTTCAGGAAAGGCAACACACTCAGCGTTTTTGTTAATAGTTCACTCTTTCTCCCTGCTGTGACCTAGTTGCAGTCCCTTAGGTACACACAGAGACCAATACTTTGTAAACCTGAACTCAATCAGTAACCTGAAGTGTAATGCTCACTGCTAGCATCCCCTTATATTCACTACACTTACGTTTCAGCAAAGATGAGCACTCAGTTACAGCTTCATTTTTCTGCCTGACCTGAGTTCATTGCAGGCCCTTAGGCACTGCCAGAAACTGATATTTTCTAACCGTAGCCCTGAGCTGAAAGGTTAACCCTAACCAAATCCGCACTTGGTAATCCCTATGCATTTGGACAGCTTCAGCAAAAGCAGGGAATTCATTGCTTTTGCTTACAGCTCACTTTTTCTGCCTCATCTGACTTAGTTGCAAGGCCTTAGCCATACCCAGGACCTCATATAATGCTTATCCTAATGCTAACATGAAGCTAGCTTAACTCTAAGACACACAATGTTGTACAGTCTATATATACTCCCCTATTTAGTTGGAAAGTTTCAGGAAAGGCAGCACACTCAATCTTACTTTGACTGTTCGCATTTTCTGCCTCATCCGAGCAAGTTCCAAACCCTCAGACAGGCACAGGAACTTATGTTCCCCAAAACCTAACAATTTGCTGAAGATAAATCATAATCCTAACTCCACTGATGTATTTGGAAAGCTCCAAGCAATGTAGCACATTCTAGGTTTTTGATGGCAGCTCCTTTTGCTGCCTCATCTGTGCTAGTTCCAGGGCCATCTAAATGCAGAGGAACTGGTAACTCTAATCTAAATCTCAACCCCTACACCAAATATACCCAATAATCCCTCTGCATTTGGAAAGTTCCAGCAGTGGCAGCGCACTTGTGGTTTCCGGGACAGCTCACTTTGTTTGCCCCATGTAAGCTTAGTCCCTGACCCTTGGGCATGCACAGGAGCTGACAGTTTTGTAATCTTAACTCTAAGCTTAAACCAAAGCCTACCTTTAAGCCACATCTTACCTGCAACCCTAATAGCCTTGCATGCATTGGTACGGTTTCAGCAACTGCAGTGCCCCATCTGTGCTAACTCCAGGCCCTTAGCTGATACTTTCCTAACCCCAACCTTAGCAATGCTCCATACTCCTATGCATTTGGACTTGACACCAAAAACATTAAATGTGGGGTTTTATAGATAGCTCGAATGTTCTGCCTCATCCAAGCTACTTCCACGCCCAGGAATGCACTTTTTCCTAATTCTGAGCTTAACCTGAAGCGTAGTCCAAACCCTATCAATGCCATACACTCCCAGTGTGTTTGGAAAGCTCCAGTAAAGGCTGTACATTTGGGGTTTTTATTGGCAGCTTGCTCTTTCTGCCTCATGTGAGCTAGTTCCACACCCTGGAGCATATTGACAAAGGCAGTACACTAAGGGGCTTTCTGGACAGCTCACTTTTTCTGCCTCATCTGAGCTAGTTCCAGACCCTTAGAAATGCACAGGAAGTGATATCTTCCTAGCCCCAATTCCAACATAAACCCCCTATCTCTAATAGTGCAATAAACTTCCTATGCATTTGGAAAGTTTCAGGAAGGACAACACACTCAGGATCTTTATTGAAAGCTCAATTTTTATTCCTTATCTGCTATAATTCGAGGCTCTTAGCCATGCCCAGCAACTAATATTGTCCCAGTCCTAACTGCATCCTGAAGCTTAACCCCAACTCTAACATCTCCATATTCTCCATATACATTTGGAGTATGTGGAGGCAATACAAAACCAAAGGCAATGCACATGGGTTTTGCGTTGACAGCTCAATTTTGATGTCCTAGCTGAACTTTTTCCATGCCTTTAGCCATGCACATTAGCTGGTATTTTCCTAGGCCAAACCCTAAACTAAAGCTTAACCCTAAGATTCACAGTACATATACTTCCTATGCATTTGGAATGTTTCAGGAAAGGCAGTGCACTCAGGGTCCTCCTTGACAGCTTGCACTGGTGTATATCCTTACCAAACTGATTACTTATGTATTTGACATCATGTAGTATGAATGCACACAGCTGAAAGTTCCTGGCACTTACCAAAACTCATTCATGTAGAGAACCCTCTCCTGGATGTATGGGTTATGACTTTGAGGTGGTCATTCTGGGAAGCACCGCGCCACTGCATTATTATTTTCTACCTATTTTTGCTAAGAATAGCATGGGATGGTGTAGTTGACAGCGCCCTGTGCATATTGAAAAGTTCATTTTGCATAGGACATTCTCATGTATTGACATATGAGTTTGGTTGTCCCAAAGTGCATTGTGAAGGGCATAAATCCTGTTCCTCCCCTCCCCACTATGAATTCTAGAATAAATGGTACTATGCATGGGTGCACTGACTTGAGAATGTCTTGAATATCATAACGCTTTGGAGCAGACATAGCTCAGTATCATTTAGTAGAAGATGTGTTCTGGATGTGTAACTGTAAGATTTCAGGAGGCCCAAAGCTCATGCTGGGATGTACCATTCCAGTTCCTTATTCTTGCCCACTTATTTCAGGTGGAATTCATGGTGTGCACCATATCTGAGAGTGCCCTGTGCTTTGGGCCAGATGCAATCGAGTGCCATTGCACAGAGGACACTCTCGTATCTGTGTTGGGTGAATAAGCGGCAGAGGTCAACAGCTTATTATGGGGTTCATACCACTATTTCCTTAGTTATAATTATCATCTGGGATCATCACACATTAATGTGTGTTGCACAAAAAGCATGGGTTTGCCTGGAGGTAATTACTGCTTATCTTCAAGAGGACAGTGTCCCAATCACAGAAGTAGGTGCTATGGGGGAATTTTATGCTTACTTGTGGTAGAGAGTACTTATGCATTTTAGTGGCTGGGCTCTGATTTGAAGTTTCACACAAACAAGAAGCAAAAGACTAGTCACCAACATCAGTAGCATTCTTACCTGGAAGTGTGCTGAGAATGCATACATGGTGACATTTCCCCCATTTTTCTAATCCCTAGTTTACAGGAAGCTCTCAGAAATTCTAGTGCTGACAAGTCTACTGACTAATGGCCTTCATTTGGTATTGTATTCAACTGCCATCTTGTAACAACAACATTCCAGTAAGTAAATGAGTTACCGATCTCAACCCTGAATCTAGATTAGCGTTAACTGTGTGTTCAAACTGAGTACACCTTATCCCTCCTCCGTTCATGTGCAGTTGTTGATCCCTCCTCAGGCAACACGCAGCCTTTGCCAGTTTCTAAAAGCCCAGTCTATACATGCAGTGGAATTTGAGCAGTGTTCTGAACTGATAGAATGAAACCTACCACTTCACACTGCAGGTGAGAGAATCACATTTTAAATATAAAAACTGTCCAGTTTCTCTCTACTTCTGTGCTTTTCAGCTAAGGACAGAGATGGTTTTTGAGTAGCAGTTGGATGTAATATTTGCAAAAATGGGGGAGGGGGGGAATCAACCATTGTTTGCTTTTCTCAGCAACCCTTTGGAGGGTCCCAAAACATCCAGCCTGAAACATCCAGCCTGCAGCCTGAAAACATGTCTGAACCAGGTAGAGCTAACTGTTGCCTCCTCCCACTGTCCACCTTTAAGACCTGGTCTCAAGACCATTGTAGTTATGAAGCCTTCCTGATCCTGCATGACTCATCATTTCATCAGTGTTTCCCTTCCAACAGGCATCTTTGTCCGCCTGTTTATCTCATGAATTTTCTACCCTGTATTTCCAAGATAGTGCAGACATGAAGGAAGAACTTATAGGGAGGAACTATGAATGGAAGGGGTTCTTAACCCATTGTGAGGTCACAGATTCATTCCTACAATCCCCCCCCCTTGATAATTTTTCCTCTATTTGGGCTTACATATGATTTTTAAAAAATGCTGGGATGAGGTGATCTACAAGCAAAGGTTCTCGTTGTAATGTCTATCAACAGTCTTAGCTAGTGAAGTCCTTTTGAGGTCAGAGATAGCACTCTGACCTCAGAAGGGAGCACTGGAGATCTGAATCCCCACTCAGCAAGCATGGAGAAAGTTGCATCAGTTTCTTCTCTGAGGTTAGAAACCAGACCTTGGGGATGTGGAAAAGGGGACATCCTGGTGGACAGGGAGAAGAGGATAGTGGTGAGGAAGAGCATAATGGTGAGGCCAGGATAGGAGTCATCCTGAGCGTCCTCCAGCCAACTTCCTTCCCCCTCCAAAGTGTTCCTGCAGGTTTTGCTAAAGAGCCCATTTAGTGAAATCTGCAAGGCAGAAGGACAGGGAGGGGAAGATTGTTTCTACCACTCCTTCCACTCTGCACTGGATGTTCAGATGCCTCTGAGTTTGGAAGCTTCTGATCACTGAGGATACTATCAATAGGATCATGACCTAATTCATGTAGGATTCAAATCATTCCACACTTTTGGAATGTGAATTTTGGAATTCTCCATTAAGGCACAGTCCTACAGCTCCCACAGATGCCTGGAAACTTCCAAACTAGCAGGTTACGAGCATCCAGTGCAAGGCATGAGGTGCTGTCGCAGTGACCTCTGCCACTGCACCTCCCACCCTGGGCCACCAGTGGGAACTGGCATAATGCCGTGGCCCCAGCCTCCTCCCCTCCCTGCCCCAGCCAGCATGCCCCCTTTTCCTCCCTGAGGGCCCAGTTGTGTCCTTGGAAGGATGGCAGCCAGCGTGGTTCTTTCCACACAAGCTGGGAAGGGATGGGACAGGAGGCCCTAGGACTGCACCCTAAGCAATTTCAACAAATGCACCAATACAAGAAGTCTGTGTTACTCTTCTGACATAACATGTGTCTCCCACCTCCTGTTACAATAGTTTGCAAAGATTTTTATGAATGAATACACATGAAACATTTTAAACTGAGTGAAAAATATGCTTGATTTGCAGAGGAAATATTCCAGAACTAGAATCAGCAGGAATCTGGCATCCTGCTCATGGATCATGCCTACAAGATGGGCTGGCCATTGTGACATAAAATTTTCCAATTATACTTCTTCATTGACTCACCCCAACATGCTCTCCTGTCTGCAGCCTTTGTTGGGTGGCATTTTGTAGGAGGCCAAGCGGAGGCCTTAGGGCCAGTTGTGGTCCATAGTGTCACCCAAGGCCATAACAACAGTGGCACGATATGCATTTCTTTCACAGTCTTAATGCATAGCAATACATTTTTTTTAAACTGAGAGAGATTATCTGCAAGTGAATGTCACTGCTCGCTTTGGCATATGCATATGACTCTAAGCCATGCTAAAAGGCATCTGTTCTGTAACCGTAAAACTCATCTGGCCAGTTTTATTACAACTATAATCTAAACTTAAACACCTGTGAAGAGGGCAGCACAAGGCACTGTCATTCTGTCCCCATATTTCTCAGAATGGCTCCAATAACATGAGCTGATATGAATTAGTTATAGGATACTGATCCCTGCAGCACTGAGTTATCTAAGCAGCCTCATAGCCTGCAGTGTAATTCATTTCTTTTTCCATTTATAATGTTCACCAGATAGAAAACTCACACAAGAATAAGTTGCTAAAACAAACAATTACTTAAACTTTTTATGCAGAATAATATAAAGCATGGGAACCACCTATATGTAAGTAATTCCAAAATGTGACTTAATTGCTCCAAAACTCAGCCCTATTTTGCCCTTTTAGATTGTGTAAAATGTTTTACTTACGGTCTGGGCCTTGCTTATTAGCGATCGAACTATTTCCTTAACATTGTTGGCTTTGTCTCTTTGGAAATACAGTGTGACTTCTGTTTCGTGAAATGCCTTGAAGGGGGGTGCCACTGGCCAACCCAGCTCCAGCTGTGGAGGGTCAACATCTGACATGAAGGGAAAGTATGTCCCAGATGTGACTCCAGAGAGGAGAGACGCCCTGTCTGCACTATCCTCTCTCGTGAGCCCAGCCTCTCGTGCCTTAAGTGGTGATTCTGGGATGCTTTGGCTGTTTTGACACATGTAATCCATATCTAGCGTGGAAAGAAACGGAAGCTCCTTTTCTTTCATAATGGCTTGCAGATAACCAGCTTCTCCCTGTTCCAAAAGGGCATCCACAGCTAGCCGGGCAGTCTCACTATGCTGTAACATTGAAGGACTGATTTCCTTCCGCCAAGGCTTTTTCAGATCTTCCAACCGGGTTTTCAGTTGTCCTGTGGCCCCTTGGGAGCTCCCGTAGTCCCTGTGGAGCCATCTTGTTGTTCCTGGTGTTGGGTAGCCAAACATGTTAACTTGTGGTGCTGTCTCTTCTGAGGGAGATTCCCAGCCTCTGCTGTCTTGTCTCTGGGCTTTTTCACGCTCAGTCAAGCTCTCCACAAGGAAGTTCCCGGGAGCAGTTTCTTTTGTTCTTTTCTAAGCGCCCATCCCTTCCAGGGAAAAAGCTAGCTCCTGAAAACTTCTGCTTGCTCCAATTTTTCTGTTGAAGTGAAGCAGAAATCGTTGCTGAAAATGCTACTTTTGAAGGCCTGTTTTGATGTTGCCTTCTTCATTGAGCTGCCAGAAAAGATTTTCCCATCTTCCTTCCACAGAGCTGCTGCTTGTAATAGACACACTTCAAGAAATGAAACTCGGTTACCTTCCCGCCCTAACTTACGTTAATTTCTCCCTTGCAGTCAAAGTCCGGGAACCTGTTCTGTCAGTTATGGTGCCTGGGGAGGAAATGGAAATGTTGAAATCTCTTCTGCGTTTAGTGTGCATTTATGTGACCATCACACACATACAAAAATCATGAAACAGTGTAATAATACTGAACTAGTCTGGAAGGGGAGAAAAAATACACCATGTTCCTTAATATGCACTTTTATTGTTGTTATTTTTCTCATATGTTAAAAAAGGCAAATGCTTGTGCCATAGCTTCAGCTAGGTTAAAGTAGAGTTCATTCAGCGTCTCCAATGCACGTATTTCATTTGAGCTGCAGCATACTTTTTTAAAGTATTAGAGAAACTGGTTTCCATAATACTTGACTAACAGGATGTTTAGATCTCAGGCAGCGTAGTCAGCATTTTGGCTGCATCTAGTTTATGCCAAGGACTGGAATGCATTAGGGGCTGCTGCCCTCACTTCGCCTCACTTCATAGTATTCTCATGGGCTACCATTCTTGATTTATTCGAAAGCCCAGTAGGCATGATTCATGCTTCTTACCTCAGTATTTACTTTGCAGAAGCAAGCAAGCAAGCAAACAAGCAAAAGCAACATCTAGTCAGAATTACACACTTCAAAGCATTTTAACGAGGGAATTGAACACATGCTTCAGTAATCAAAATTTCGACTGGGCCATGTCCTGAAGACCAGATTGCACATTGTATCAGGAGGCTCATGATGGAGTTCCAGTTGTGTGTGTGCTTATTTACTGAATGAAGTGTTGGTGTGTGTGTGTGTGGGGGGGCATGGTAGGGGATGTTTAATTGCCTGCTTCCATGCCTTTCCCCACCCTAATTTACACCATTCTTCAGCTCCTATAACTCTGTGTGTGTCTGTGTGTACAATACAGACCTAATACAGACACCTGTATTTTTTCATCTACACAGCTACTAGCAGCTTTTGGGGGGCAATTTAGATTCAAATCCCCTGGGCTGCTTCCCCCACTCCTCCCTCATACAGCTACATGTGGTTTTAAGAGAAAGTCAGGGGGACCACCAGGATTCCTGGCTTAGCTTTTAAATGTCATCTCCTGGGTAGGTAAGAATAAGATCCGTGAAATTGGTCAGTAAAAAGTGAACTTGCCTCTGTGTTATGTAGTGTTCAGGCCAAACCACTGGGATGATTGAAAGTAATAAGTGGCATTTATCCTACTTATTGCTCGGTGTGGCCTTGAATCCTCTTATCTACTCAGTTGCCTGTTAATTTCATTGATATATTATATCCTGTCAATACAATATGGCTCACCTGGTGGTATAATCAAGTAAATGATCTGTGTACATTCTTTTTGAATGTGAAGAAACCTCCACAAACCTCTAAAGTTGTCCAAGTGAGCAATGTGTCAGTGTCCTTCTCCAGGCCAAGCACAAAAGACAATGCCTATTGCCATGGATTGTAGAAAGGTCCCCTGTCCTGCTACTGCAGCATCTGCCAGTGTGTACTCTGACTCTAAACTCGCTCATCCCACCTTCTGAGAGATGGACTGGGGACAAATTTTGTTCTCACAGCAAAAGCAGTCATTTCCTGTGGAATGATTAAGGCAGGCAGCTTCAAGGCACTCTTCCTAACAAGTTGATGGCAGTAAGGTGTTGGCTTTTGGATACCAGGAAAGTTCACCTGTTGAACTTTAATAACCTCCTCACCATTCTTCCAGTAGAGCCCATGCAATAACCAACTTAGAGGAACTGTCTTGAAGGAGGAAGAGGAAGGAGGAAGAGTTGAAGACTGAAGAGCATTCTTCATGCTCACATGAATCACTGTCAGAAAATAGTATTTGTAGGTGTGACGACAACAAACAAGTTCTGTGTGCTTTGTGTGAGTGAATTTTCAAGTGTCAGAAGCAGTCTTAACAGAGCTTCTCTAGTCTAGCCTACCTCACATGGTGGTTATGATATAGATACAGAGCCTCCAGGTCACTCACCAAGTTAAAAAGAACAATACAAACAATAGTAGCAACAATATGAATACATTGAGGCAATTTCAATTTCTATGGAAAATATTGTGGCAGAGCTTTCTGTGCAAAACTCAGCCACACCTACTGATTCATTTGAAGTAAGTATCTGCCTGTCTGAAATTACTATCTACTTGCCATCTTGGCAAACATGCCACAAATATGACTTTCAACCTAGTACTCACTTTCTCTTAGAACAGTAAGGAACTTCATGGTAGTAATTGTGACATTTAGGTTTTCCCCAGCCAATTCCAGTGCACATTTTGGGAAGTTTACATGCAAAAGGACACTTTTTTTAAGCAACTGGCTAGAAAAAAATCTTCCAAATAAGCATTTGAGGCAAGCGATGTTAACTGACTATAGGAAACCTAAACTTTAAGGGTGAAAATCCTTTTATAGTAAACAGTACTGTTGGATTTACTCAACTCTGAAATGTATTTGGTTCAAAGACGTGTTTCAATAGATATCTTTAAGTAATTACTGTAGAGTGTAATACTAGTAGTTTGCAACTTTTACTGATGAGGAGGTGGCATAGCCCGTATCAGTTTTAACATGCCTAGTGTTTTACTTCTTCACATTTAATGTGCCCTCAGAGTGAACCTCAGCCTCTAGCCTGATGAAAGTAAGCCTAAGAGTCTTGCCCAAACATATTTCTAGGGATGGTAAGCTGTGCCGCCAGGCACTACGGAACCAAGTCTAGCACCCTTGGCGCCACATCAACTGTTGCTTAAGGCTGGTTAGAGAGACACATCTTTGAAAACTAGGCTTGGATCTAGAACTTCACAAACAAAAGAACATCTTACATGCTTTTCCTCCCTGAAGGAGATGCATGCAGTGCTACAAGCTGATTTTAGTCCTACAAGGTGATCTTTAGATCTCAGCACTCTCCTTCTGTGCCTAGAAGGAGGCAGCAAACGCAAGCAAATTCCTGACCAGGCCAGATGATGAGGTTTCTGCTAAATGATCAGGGCATGGTAGGAAACAGATAGCATGCCTTTGACTCAAAGTGGAGCTTTTGTTCTGCCAATATTTCTCTGCAGGGGCAATTTTCTCTCCCTTCAAGTTTCTCATCTCTGTGCTTGTCAATCCAGCCCTGACTTTTGAGATGCGTCTTGTTTGGCCCATGGTACTGCTTGCCACTTTTTGCACTGCTGCCCATTGCCACTCACCTGGGAAAACGACAGTTGACAGTTAATCTTTATCCCATATATTTGGAGTGGGCAATACAACACTGCTTCTGACACAGCACAGTCTGGAGCTTATTAGGCATCATATGACAATTTTTCAGTATTTCTTGCATACCAATCTTATCTCCCCCCACTGACAGCAGCTGAACTCTGAGAGCAGAGATAGTTTCATAGTTAATTTCCCACTTGGCTCTTCTGGCAGTTAAAACAACTGCCTAGCATTTTCTGATGCAAGAGAACATGATTATGAACCAGGACTTCCCACCCCATTAGGTATGAAAGGTGCTAGCTGTCTACACAAGTTCTAAAGCCCATATTATTAAACCCATGGAGGTCAGGGTCCCCTGGGCTCCACATGGTCCTGTGGCACAGAAGAAAGACTTCAAGGATTCTGGACTGCAGGCTCTGCAGATCCAGTGAATAAAGACTTCTCATATGGGTGTATCTATCTCAGGCCCACACAAGACTGGCAGTGTTGTACACCTGGGCATCTCCTTGGAACTGCAGGTTGACGAGATGGTTCTGGAAGCAGGGGGTTAATGTTGAAATGAATATTTTTAGATATGAATTAATGTATGTATCTTGGTGCCAAAGTATCTACCATTTCTTTTTCCATCTATTCCAGGAGCAGCAAGATACACACAGTAAAGTTTATTTTGGTTCTTGGTATACTTCACTCCCATTAAAAATAAATTAATCAGCAAATTCCTGCACAGCTAAGCCGTCTTTTATGTAAATACAACACAGCTGTAATGAATTACAAGGGGTTATTAACTCACACACACACTGCATAATACTTCACACATAAGAGGTTCTCTCCATAGCTCGGTTTACAACAAAAGCATCTTAAATAAACTGAGAAAAAATGGTTTGGTTTGTAATGTTTTCACAGAAGTGAATATACCTTGCAGATATAAAGTTTCTTTATATGACTCATTCTATAACAAGTTTAAACTAAGTAAGTTTGCTTTAAAAAAAAAAAAACCACCTTGCTTTTTTGTACAAAGGAAATTGACTGGTAGCTATTGCTGGAACAAAGGTCTACAGGTATGCCCAGAGTGGCAATATTGTTGTATTTAATTTCATTGTACTTTTGTCTCTAGTAACACTTCCATGCACTTCTCATATATGTATACTTCCCACTTTCGGAACTGCTACCTCTGCTTAATTCACACTCACACTGAATTTGTACAATGGAACCCCTACACCCATTCAGACCCCAAAACATTCATTCTGTGTGTCAGAGAGGTTTGGAATCTGAGCAAGGGGTAGTGATGGCATCACATTTACTTTCATTTAAAAAGGTGCATCTCCTTTAACAAAGTGCATGGGTGTACCATCACAAATTCCATACTTTCAGAAAATCCTATTACCCCTAACCATTGGCCATTCTGGAAGTGGGGTATGAGAACTGAAGTCCAAAACATCCAGAGAGCTGCAATCTGACTACCCCAATCAAATCCCATTACTATAACATGCTGGTAAGGTGCTACTAAGAGCAAAGGTCTTGGTCAAATAAGGGAGTAAAGAACAAATGCACCAAAGTTACCAACCTTTTTATATGGTTAATGGCATCCCAAATTGAAGACCTTTATCTATATTGCTTTTCAGTACATTTATTAAGACCAAACTGTTCTCCCAACTGTTCAAAGGCATTACATGGTATGGAAAACAAGACAACTGTATCTCAGGTTACAATTTTGACCATGAGGAACAAGGTTCTGCTTCTAAAAAGAACTTATGGCCTAGTTTGTATAATGTATCGGGATCGTTCTGAAGGGAAGACAGCATTTGGTAAGCAAGCTAAAGAAACCATCAGTTGGCTATATTGATCCTGAGTCACTATTTCGAAAGGAGATGACCTGGGCGAAACAAACCCACGACTCGGAAACGTTACTCATACTGTAAAGTGTTCAGAGCCTAACAGGAAGACAGTAACAGCAGGGTGAAAACTGGTTTGTAGGCACAGCCTGAGGCCCACACTAGACCAGGATATTAAATGGGTGTTGCATTTAACATAGAAGGATGTAATTCATGCAAATACCATCAGCTGAGAAGGCTAATAATTACTGAGAGCACATCAAGTTAACCCTTCCTCTGCTGCTGCAATCCTAAGAAATATCCTTCCTCTCTGAAGTCGCTATTCTAGCTTCAGAAAAGGGATTTTCCCTGGGGACCACAGCAAGTGAAAAAAACTATTCTCCCCCCACCCCCAACACACACACACTTTGTACCTGCTGTTGTTCAATCATAGGGCTCCTCCCAACTGATGCTATTTGCATCTTTAAAACCACAGCTAAATGCAAAAAGACACTTAATTTGCCCCTCAAGTTGTGCCTCTAGCAAATACTCTCTGCTCCTGTGTCACCAGGACAAGCGCAGGAGCTGGCCTTCACACCTGTCTCATGCTTCAAGCTGCCCTCAGATGGGAAACTGTCAACATTCTTTTTGGGTACCTCAATCATTTTTAAGAGTTACAGTTCCAAAATTGCATTTGCCCTGAGACACACAATACTTGTACAAAAAGATTTCTCACATCCATGGTTGTATTTACCAGCTTCACAGAAGAAAGAATCATAACATTTAAGCAGCTGATCTCTTCTTACTAGACAAAAGACAGCTTGCTTGCACTTTGGTAAACTGGCTTGCTCCCCAAAAATGAAAGTTCCCTCTGAGAACCAGCACGATGGGATGACTGGATAATGTAACCGTGAGGGATTTCCCAAATCAAACTTGCCCAACCCACTCTCTCACCTTTACCACCCAGCACGGCCAACTGCTATGCTGGCAGGGGATGATGCAAATTGCAGACCCAATACTTCTGGAGGATATCAGGTTGGGGAAGTCTTCCTCATATGAATTAGCAGCATTTAACTACAAATATAATATTAAAATAGCACATTCAGGTTTACTAAGGTGGGAATACTTACAAAATACAAAAGAGGGAAATTTTTAAATCACTCTTTCCAATAGCATTTACAGCATTTATTCTTTCTCCCTAGGGAGCCAAAAGTTTAAGTCAAGTCACTTCCTGAAATTGTTCCACATATAAAGATAACACATCGTTGGCAGCAAACATTTTCAAGCCGGCTTTCAGAGTCCTTCATCATTGTATGTTGGAGAAGAAGGCTTCACAATGCTTTGTGCATTGGTTTCCACAAGGGGGCGCCAAGTCACTTCACCAGATAACAGCAGGTCTTCTCCAGGCATAGCGTCTAGGTGCTGCACCTGATAGTCACAACAGAATTAAGGTAAATCACTTAGGAAATTTGTTCTGAAAGATGATTCCCCACTAAGAAGTGTTAACTATTTATGCAACCACCAAGGAAGCAGAATGGGGTTATCTGGGATCACAAAACATCTCATGTTATATGGGACCAAAGGGGAAACTTAACAAACTGGAACTTCAAAGACAAAGCCACATAAAAAGCAACATTCAATGGATATCTACTTGAAATCAAGCTATCTTCTAATCTGGAGGCAAAAAGGATGAATCCTGGCCTGCAGTGAACATACTGGCCCTTGTTCTCTTGTCTGCCTTACAACATTAGTTTATAGTGTTCTTACAGCGCTCAAGAAAGGGATAGTAATATGTAAGCTTCTTTCTTTTCACAGAAATAATAAAAACCCATTTACCTTCACAATGGCTTGGATCCAGTATGTCTCGTGCAAGTGGAAATGCACCTCTGCCTGCTAAGACAGTTCTACCAAATTCCTCCAATTTCCCTGTCATGGGGCAGACTGCCCCCCAAACACTACTCCAGAGGGTCACCTGACTCTTAGCAGTAGCTGGGGTGTGTGTGTGGACTGTAGAGTGCTGCAGTGAGGGGAGGAACTAGGAAAGCTGAATTCTATGAGCAGATTTTAACTATGTGGATCTCAGTCCATCACAGAATGACTAATGAGGCAACCTCATGCATATTACATGGAGTTCAGTGGGGCTTATTCTCCTAGTGCTTGGGACTATGACCTAGGAGTTGGATTTTCTGCATGTTCTTACATATCTGTAAATGGACTGGATTGCTCCAAGAATTATGGGAGATGAATAGTCTGAATTTAGCAGGTTTTTATATTACACCAAAAAATCTACAGCCAAGATGCCTTTGAAATCTAGGAGCTGGTTTAATCTGTCAAAGGGTAGTTATTTCTAGGGACAAATCAGAGATCAAGATGAAAATCAGGATTTAGTCACAAGTACAAAGACTGATTCTATTCTGGGAGCATGTCTAGGAATATCTAGCATATCTATTCCTATTGCAGACGGATGGCCCAATGGTTAAGCTATTTGTCCAAACTTAATTATGTTCTGTCTAAAATGGAGCCATCCCTTCTCTTACTTCAAAGGAGTCTAAAGCTAAGAACATATGGAAGCAGATGGAAAGTATAATCAATATAAGAGAAAGAATGACTTGGAAGAGTAGACTTGTATTTTGGCCAAAATCTTCCAAAAATCTCACATGTTATTTATTTCATTTCTATACAGCTCCACAGATGATACTCTCTGGGTAGTTTTTTGGTTGCTGACAGAATGGCAATGTAGTACATTTAAAGCAACTTCTGAGGTTGCGATTTGGGCAGTGAAGGAGAAAGACTAGCACAACACCCCACTCCAAAGACTGTGGGTGACACTAGCAGTTTATCTAGAGAAAATATGTCCATCTAAATCCATGCTGAAAAATAACTGATAAATGTAATAAAAAGTACTACTTTGCCTCCCATCCTCCTTCCAAGAAAATCAGTGTGTTAAAAACTAGGGTCTCCTTATTTCATCCCAACAACTCTCTGAGTTAAATTAGTCTGAGGAAATATGACCAGGCAAGGGTCAAGGCCAACGAGGGAACTTGGGCAGTGGCAGAAGCAGCCTTTACCCCATGGCACAATGTGGGTAACAAGTGCACCAATCATTTACATTATGTGAAAAGCAGTGAGAACATCTCACATTCCAAACAGTGGCCCACCTGTTTGCGCACATATTCAACCATCATTTCCAGTTTCCTTGGATCATCGCAGTTTTTATTAAATAGATTTCTCCAGATGGCTGCTGCAAGCACATGATCATCTGATAAAATTCCCTAAAATGGAGAAAAGAAAACAGCAAATTTGGAAACCATAAGCATGAAACAGAAAGTTGTTTCAGATGTGTCATTCTCTCTACAGTATAGCACTATACTAATACAGAAAAAACTCAGGGCAAGTTGCAGGATTAAGTATATAATTCTCAGATTTTGTGAATAATAATAGCAGTTGCGCAAAATGCAATGCTATATACAAACTCCAACCAAGACTTGGGTCACTTATAAAAGCTTTTGCACTACATTCCCTGTAAACATACAGTATGCTAAGCGTGCAAGAGCGATCTCTTACAACTATACCACACTCCTTAGCTTCATGCCCCTCACTGCCAAGAGCAGAAGCAGAAAATATTAGGCAAGATATATAGATCATTAGCAAAATCTAAGATTAGTTCACAAAACACAGTGTTTGTCATAGAAATGAGGCTTGTTTCTTTTAATCATATCAGATCTCCTCACTGCTACTTATCTTCTGTACATATGCAGCACTAAACATAGGTTAGAATTACCTCATCATATCCAAAAATAGCTGCATAGAAAATTTCTGCCATGCTTCTCATACTTTCTTTCCGAGCAACAGAATCAATCTGAAAAATAAAGCAGCAGTACACACTCTGAGTCAGTGGTAGCACTAAGAAAATTAGAGGTGAAGGCAGACTCAGAAAGCTGAAGTCTCTTGCTTATCCAATCCACATCTGGATGAAATGGGACTTCAATTCTTGTTGCCCAGGGCTTGGTGAGAATAGACATTTTAAACAGATATTTTAATGAGAACTTTGGATAATATAGGAAGGTAGGGAACAAATGTTCGAACACCAACCTCAGCATACTTTTTCAGTTCATGGACAACACACACACACACTCATCCATTCCCACTTCTATGCTGCTCCATAACCTGAAGATTCCCTCTTTTGCACAAAGAAGTAACTTGGGCAGTATCCTATCCAGGATTTGGCTCATGTTGAATATACTTAGGGCATAATCCAGTACATAAATAGGAAAAAGGCCTATAATGCTAGATCTTTTCCTCTGTGTAAGCATACATAGGATAGCATCTTTATGACATTTCACCACAGGAATTTCATATTGAATGTCAATCTTCTCAAGGAAGCCCTTCCTGCAACAACTACATTAAATACAACTAGCAACAGGCTCCCCCAAACATGTGCCTTCCAGATGCATTACGTTACAGCTCCCAGAATCTCCAGTCATGTGCCATGCTGGTTGGGGCTGATAGGCACTGCAGTCGAAAACATCCAGAGGGCTCTGTGTTAGGGGAGGCTGCTATAGGTGAAAAGGATAGTGAACAGGACGCTGCGAGACTGGCAGACAAATAGCAGAAAAAGGCATGTGAATGTTTAGTCTCCAGAGATCATGATGTGTGCTGGCCTCATCACAGTGGCACAGTCTGAGCCACAAAGGAAAGCCATGAATAATACCATACACAAATCTGAGCACTTTGATAAAAGCAGACCAATGCTGCTTCATCAATGATGTCATCAAAGCCCTATTACTCTGCACATAGCCCTGCGGTTACTGCCTTGTAATAATTTTCCCCTCAAACAGCTAATTAGTTCATGTCATACTATCAAACCTATGGCTCATATATAGGCTTCCATTAAACTGCTGTCCTTCATAACTTTATTTTTTTTAATACTTGCATATAGTGGAACCACAAAGAAAAAGTTCTTTTATGTCAGTTACTCATATTTTTCCATTTATATAAACTATTAAAATTCATGCATTTATTTTACAGGCCATCAAGGTTTGGTCATTGGCTATTATTGGATGTTTAATGAAAAAGTGCTAAACAGAAGAAATCACAGGGTTAAATGATGACTGCAACCTCTGTAATGACTTAATTAAATTTTTATGGAGTACATAAACTATGATGTCACTGCCAGCCAACCAAACTTGCTCTTGCTAGGCATGTCAGAGACCATGGCTTTTCTCAATAGAACGTACTCCTAAATAAGCAGCATTTCTATACTCTAATAAGGGAGAGCAGCTCTCATGTAACACACTCAATAAATTATCCTTCCATTTTTAAAACAAACAAATTCCATGAGTTATAATATATTTGCCATGCACTTTTTATGACATAATAAAAATGTTACCTTAAGGATTACTTAACACATACTACAAATGTTACAGCAGGCAACTGCAAGGGGGCAAAGAAAATAAACAGCACCATTACAGAGGCTAGTCCTGGCCTTTGCATCCCTAGGGGAGCAGCTCACTATATAAAAGCAAAAAGCAGCAGCTTTAAGAAAGAGATTAATAAGGAGATAAGAAAGTTAAATAAACATGGCAATAAATAAAAATATGACTCTTTCATTGAAAGTAGGGGGATCGTATCCTGGATAGCATCACAGTCTATGGAGTAAACTGGTTAACACTAGAGAAACACCATCTCATTAAAATAAGTGACTAAACTTTAAGAAGGGCTCTTTAGAAACATTCTCTCCTCAATCCTGTCTTCCTAGCACTGGCAAATCTCAGCACCTGGCTTTCAACAGTAATGACTTCATTGATTGCAAGCTTGTCTCCAATGCCAAGAGTACTAGAGAATTTTAAATTACTACTCTGTGCTAATGCTACTAATAGCCACCGGATTCCTCCTGCAAGTTAAGCTCCTTCGTACCTTTGATAGGAACAAATCTTGAACTAGCAATACTCTGGCACTTGCATTCAAGGTTCCTCCTTATGAGAAGCATGCAGCAACCGAGGCAGTCTGGGATGTCCAGCAACTCACTGAAGGTTGATTAAAGTTACATCCAAAAATCCTATAGCAATGTTACTGTACACGCATGTAAGGCCACTGGGATAGAATTTTCAGAGATACTTTTGAAAGACAAACAGTTCAGAAGTAAACTCCAGTGAGTTCAATGGACTTTACTACCAAGTAAATCTGTATAGCTCTGGACCCTAAGAACTGCTCCCAGTCTCTCAGCCTAAGGAGTTCAATAGTAGTTAATTTAGAAAGTTGTTTTTTCCTGTAGTGTCAAGATCAAAGGCAAGGCAGATATGCTACAGCTCTTCATTACAGGAACAAGTTATTGTATTCCTTGGGCTCTCCCTTTTCCTCTGGTGCAACCAGAAGATTGGAAACGTTTACTTTGCTTGCAGTTGGTCATTCCATGCAAACCTGGAGAAATAACTATCGTCCTCTTAAACAGGTCAATCCTTGGCTTATGATGCTAGCTTGTTTTAAGCAAGCCATAGTTACAATTAACCACGGTTTGGCTTGCAAATATAATCCTAAACTGTAAGTAATCAGAAGAAAGGGATAAAGCGCACCCAATGTCCCCCTTGTAGCTATACTGGAAGGAGAGCAAGGAGGAGGGTGATTCTGAGGCCTGCTGGGGTTTTCTTGTAATTATAGACCACTGTTGTAATTATATGTCCAAATGTAGCCACTGCACCAAAGTTTCCACTGAATATCTTCTGGGGTCAGAAAGACATTTTTCTCTTATTCCCATTCAACCTCTAGACATGTTACAAAGTTTATCCATACCCCCTCTGCTGTGCTTGTTATAGTTGCACTTTGCATTTGTAAGTGTGGAAACTTCAAATTTAGCCTTGACATATTCCATGTACACTTTCCACGCCTCTTTAAAATGCTGGGAGATTTCTAGACCAAATAGAACTTAGCTTACTCCAGTGCTCCTCCTTCTCAAGGCATCAAACTCATACTTGCCACAAAACAGTTAACAGTTAAATATTTTCTTGCCAATATTTTAAGAGTGCAGAAGGTTCCAAATTGCTGGTAAAACAAACAATGCCAGACTGTGAAAACTTCTGGCTGCCATACTCTCTGATGTTAACAAGAGTTTCTTTATTACTGTAACCTTTCTGAAGTGAATAAAAATTATTTCTCTGCCCTACTTCTGCCCTCAAGTAAAAGGAAAAGAAGGAAAGTGAACCACAAAAAGTTACACAGTAAGATGTCCAGAATCCTGGAGAATTCTAGTTTTAAACATTTATTTATACATTATGTAAACAGATTGTACCCCTGTTGTAAAAGCTCTTATGTTCCACCAATGTAGCAATTTCTACTTTTGCAAACTCCAAGAAGTTTGTTCTTTTCTAATGAATGACAGTCATGTACAAGAGATACTTTACGGGGGAACATTTAGCTGATGACTTCTGGAGTCAGACAAATATTTTTCTTCCTAATGTTGCTTCTTAATTTGTTTCTTAATTCAAATAAAAAATACCACAACTTGAGACATAATGACAGAAATGTCAGTGCTTGAATATTATCAACATTTCCTTTGCAGGACTTTCTATAATCCAGCCAGGGCTGAGTCCACCTAACTTAACACCCTTGTCAAAATCAGTGGGTGGATGACAATCCTCTGTGCCAGGGATGGGCCAAACTTGCATCAACCATAGCCAGCAAAGTCAAAGGTAAGGCATGATGGAGTTGTAGGCCGTAACATCTGAAGGGTATTAAGCTGGCTCTATGTGAAACAGAGGAACCCAAGGTGGTATATGTAGTCTCACTCCATTCAAATTTATCTCCTCAGCAAGAACCTGTGAAGTACGTTAAGCAGAGAGCGAGTGACTGACTAAAGATCACCCAGTGAGCTTCATGGCCAAGTGCAGACTAGACCCCAGATTTTCTGGACCTTCTGCCTACCCCATGCCACATTTTACATGCAGAAATTCCCAGCTTAAACACAAGGTATTTCCAGTTAAGGTTGTCTTTATGTAGGAGGGCTGTGAAAAAACTCTGAGAGGCACTGGCAGTTGGAATAGGCCATACTGGCTAGGAAGACCTATAGTCAACTTAATACAGTGTTCATCCAAGTGATGAATCACTTGGTACTTGGGATTACAGTGTATGCAGCACATATAACCTTTACTTCTTTGTGGTCTCCTAGAGTCCCACAAAGTGGCACATGCCTCTGATGTTATGCATTCTGATTTCTGCTCTTGCATATCCACTGACTGTATCAGCAATGATTAGAAACAGGTGGCTTGGAAGGTATTATTAAAGGGCTGGACTAAAGGATGTTTAAATTTCTTTTAGTTTGGTTCTTCAACAGGTTTCAGACAGTTATTTATATACTACCCTTTTACCCCATAAGATGCCCCAGGGAGCTTACACAGTCCTCCTCTCCATTTTTATCCCCACAACAAAGTATGTTTGCATGGTGAATGAGTATGGATTATGTGGCAATTTCTGGTGCAGCAAGAAGTGCGCAGAACAGTTTGACAGAGGAGAAGGTGCCGCCATCCCAGCAACTTGGGACAGAAGGAAATATGGTAGGAGGAGGGCTAGTTATTGATGGCTACAAGCTCCCCTCCTTCTATGTACCTCTTCTGCCTCTCGTGTATCTGGTAGATCATGCAGTGAGCCCTCCTGAATTGCAGTGCTGCTATTTAATGCCAGAGTTATTTAATGCTGTAAGACTGGCCATACAGAATATAATTGTGGATGAAAAGACTGATCTAGCAAGCATTACTGATGGGTGGGGGAGGTTGACTTGACCTCGCTTTGCTCATCTTGCTACCTGGTATAGCACCAGCTTAGGCAGGTGACAGGATGTGGAGAGTTGCCATGCACTTGAACTTTCAT